GAGCAGATGCCTCTCAACTTTGGACAAATGTTTCAAGCTTCTGCACTCACCTTTCCAGTCAGCTGTTGATCATGCTGCCTGGGGATAATGGGAGTTGCGGTCCAACAAATCTGGAGAGCACCAAGTTAAGGAAGGCTGTTCAGACCCCTTTACCCAAAAGAGGGGAAGAAGAGCTGGCCTGTTTTAGAAATTCTTTGAAGAAGTAGCATTAGTAAAGTAAGACTACGCATTACAGGAACTAGCAACTTAAAGCAGTTAAGTGGAAAAATAAATATTCTGATACATTCCAGAGCATAGTTTCAACATTAAAAACTGTTTTCCTTGTATGCAGTTAGCCAGACGACTACATTTGTGCAGGTTTTCCTCCACCCACCTTCTGCCATCATGCAGAACAAGAACGGCAGCAGCTGTGTTGCCTAAGAGATCCAGGCAATATATGTTGGTATTTAGGGTGTGTCTGCCAACCTTTAAATCGCTGAAGGCTAGAAGTGGGTGACACAGCATCTCCGTCTTCAGTGTCTTGTGCCGTTTGCACACTTCTGCCAAACACGCCGGACCAAAATGGTTGCTGGGATAAGTGGGCATATCCAGGCCTTCAGCTTTAGAATGCTAGAAGAGTTGTGTTGCTGCTTTGGAGCAGATACCCAGTGCCTTGTTTCCAACAGGAACCAAGCTGATACCACGGAAGGAAAAAAAAATGGTGTCCTTCAAGGGATGGATGCCATGATTCAGACAGTGAAGAGGACTGGGAGAGAGTCTTGGGCTGTCTGAGGCATGAGCAAGTTAGCATGTGTGGAGCTGACCATTGCACGAAGCTTTGCTTGCTTTAAGAAAAGCCTTCGAATGCCTGATCTCCCTGCCTCATTCGTGGATTTTTATATGGGGATCATGTTTAGAAACAATAACCTTCCACTCATAGTGTTTCTTTGTTTTCCTACTACTTTATTTTATTTTTTCATGGAAGTTTTGTTGAATAAGGAATAGCCACACAGTACCATCTGTCTGTTAGCACTAGGGTTTTTAGTACCAGCCACCTGTCTGAAAATGCCTTCAGAGAGCAGTTCTGTCCCTGGGTTGTTTGCTCCCACTGTGTGCTCCCTGTAGGCTTCCTTGCCTTGCTTGTCTGTGCCAGCACAGGGCTTAAAATGTACCCAGGTTATTGTGTCCAAATTGGACCTTTATGACAATTCTGTAATGTTTGAAGACACCCCCCCCCATTTCTAAAAACATGAACTTCTGGAACCCTTGGCCGGGAGACATATATACTTTGGTTTCCAATCACACCTGCTGTGCAGTTATTCAAAAGCACATAATCTGCAGTGGAAGCCCTGAGAAAAGCTGTCCCCATGCCATCCTGCTGGTGGAAATCCCCACCCCACGCCCTGTGCCTTCTGTTCTCTGCTTGCCAAGTCTTCCATTTCCCACTTTGCCAAGTAGTACTTCGATGAATTGCTTTGGAGCAGGGCCTTTGGAGGAACCCAGGTTGTGAGCTTGGACCGGGTTGCCAGCTTCAGCAGCCCATGGGATAAGTGCTTAGTGCATGGCAGGAAAAAGGACGGCAGCGCCCATTTAAACAATGGCTCATAAATGTTAGGATAGGATTTTATTCAATGGCCATGGTATTTGAAAATGCTGCTTAATATAGAAAACAAAGACAGCTGTGCTAGCCCATGAGAAAAATCATTCTCATGGACTGCTGGAGTTGGTTTGCTTTTTAATGAGACTTGGGAAGTAATGCCTTTAATTATCTGGGGCAGAATCTGCTCCCCGAGTGATTCTGAACTTAGAGGGGTTCCTTCTGCTAACCACTAAGTAATACAATACAATGTGGCTTCTGTTAACTTTAGCCAGGGAGCCACCTAAAATTATTGCCTTGCTTAAGACAAAGACTGTCATGTATAGCTTTACTTTCACCTAAGGCAAGAGGCAGATCTGGGTACAGCTCGCCATGATGCTTTTGGAAGTGGGGGTCCACCATTGTTTCTTTGTCCCAGAATGTTGGGTGTAATCTAGCATCTGCAGTGACTTCTGCAACATCCTTGAGACCAAGATCTGATCACCAGAAATCAGGCAAACTTCTAACCTTTGTATTTCTTCATCACCCCACTGTCCCCCACCCTCCAACCATTTTAAAACTTTGGAGAACTCGAAAACTTGCAGTCTTTTGTAGCATTTTGGTTGGTTCCAATATTGCCAATTGTGGGTTGTAATTTTTAATCCATTGTGGAAGCCAGTGGATTCCCAAAGTGGTAGATGTTTTCCAGATGGATCTGTGCAGTAAACATTTATACTTTTATGATCAGTGTTTTTTCCTAGCTGGTGCTAAGTGCCCCCTGTTGCTGGGTTCCTTAAGACAGTGAAATGACTGCTTTACCAAAGGCGCGCAGTCTTGAGCAAGTTTAGACAGACAAAAACTGTCTCCCAGAAACTCCCAGTGTGCCCCAGCTAGGACACAATAGGAAATGCAGGCCTTTTTTTCTCTGTCTGAACTTGCACAGGATTGCATCCTAAATCACTGTGGCTTGAAATTGAATTGCAAAATAGTGCTCTCAAGCATCATTGCGGCTAAAAAGCAGTGATAATTGTGTGGATTTTCCTGCTCTTGCTGTTCCCAGGGTATTTGGGAAGGAGTGACTCCCAGTTCATGTATGCTGGACTAGCAAGGTTCTCATTCTTACTACTCTGGGCAAGGCTGTGCATTTGCTCTTGCTGTGTGGACTCAAGTTTTATTGTAAAATAAAATTGCCGTGGGTTCGGAAGCCTCTCCGCTTTCCTCCCTTCTCCCAGCAAGCTGCCATGTTCACGCCCTCCTTTGGCTGTAGGTAAGGCTTTTCTCGTAAAGAAAAAAATCACCTAGTTTTTGGCTCTGATTCAGATTTCCCCCCTCTGCTTTTATCTTCAAATGGTTCTACCCAGCTATTGGTTTCATGGCATGGAATTGATTTTAATACCTTGGACTTTAAAAATCTGTATCTGCTGTATTTTGAACATATTAGCAGTGTTTATGAATTGAGCTGCTTTGAGTTTATTTCTATACAGAAGAGGAGGGTATTCTTTTATAAATAAAGGTAATTGTAGCTTGATGCTCAGTACTTTACTGTTCTAAAAAGTGATTTGCAACATTGTCTGATAAATTGACATTATTGTTCCCTTGGGTTGGGGTGTGGTGGAGCAGTGCAGGACAATCAGTTGAAATTTCACCAGTCTGTAGACTTGGCTTGCTTTACTGCTCTAAGAAGTAATTTGCAACATTGTCTGATAAATTGGCATTATTGTTCCCGTGGGTTGGGGTGTGGTGGAGCAGTGCAGGACAATCAGTTGAAATTTCACCAGTCTGTAGACTTGGCTTGCTTTTCATGGCTGCCTCAAGGTGCCTTGTCAGAGCTGTTGATTTTTATAGTTCCACATACGCACATGCTGTAACCTGGGTTACCTCAGTCCTGGAAAGGGATTGTGTTTGGGTCTGCTGCGGCTACTTCCTCCTCTCCTCCATCTAATTTCTTCTCTGCCTTCATCTTCTTTAATACATAAATATATGTTTAAATATGGACAGCAGTATATATAAGTGTTTTTAAAGTGTTGTGCAGATGTTAAAAGATAAGGTTGTCTTTGCCCACCAGCAAAGATGGACACAATATCAAAGGAAAAAGTAATGAGAAGGGAAGGAGAAAGCGAGCATTGAGATGCCCACTTTTTACTGACCAGTGGGTGAGGGCAGGTTTGTGTCCCCCTTGCTGTGATCCTCCTCTTGGGAGGCAGCCTCCCTTCAAGTCCTTTTGGCTGATGGCAGAGGCTGGAGTCTTCTCTGCTTTAGCAAACTCTTTCAGGGTCGGAAGTGGATCTGGGGTCCCTCCATCCCAATGAGACTCCCCCAGAAACTTTTATTTTCTAGACAACGACGATCCGATTTTATAGCTTCAGGGAGACTTGCCGCATCAGACTGCCTGCGTTTTTGAATCAGATGGTGGCTCTCCCTTGATTTCCAGCAGAGCCCACCCCTTCAGCCCCCAGTTCTGTGATGCAGGGAGGCTGGAAGTGGTGGCCCCTGGCGTCTTTTCTGCGCAGGAGGAGTGATTCCAGGTCCAGACAGGCGGCATTGTGCAACTCCCCATTCTTCTCTTCCCAATCAGATTTTGCTTTTCTTTTCCTGATAAGAAAAAGCAACATGGGATGGGAAACTGCAGAGGACTACAAATTGAAGATGACAGTCCCTCGCCCCTGTGCCCAGTTCCTGTGAATAGGGCAGTGTGAGTGCATAGGAAGAGCCTTGGCCTAGATCTTGTGTAGTGCTGGCAGAAGACATGGCTGCGCTAGCGGGGAGCTACAGCTTTTTCCTTTTGCCTAGACTTCAGGACCACTTTGCAGTAGCAGGTGCGCAGGTGGAACTTGAGTTGCATCCTCTTCTTGAGCAGCATTCCCTGGGTGTGCTCTGACTGAGCTACATTGCCAGGGAATATTGTAGGAGGCCAGCTTGGTTTCTGCATAACCACAACATCCCTAGTACTTCCATGTGCCTGTAGTTCTGGGTAGCTGTCATTTAGAGGAACTAGATAATTGTTGTTAGAATGTTATTAGTTTGTGTATTGGAATGATTTTTCAGTGCGCTCTTAGTGGAAAGACTCGCCAAGCGGCTTGCTCAATGAAAATGCTCTAATTTTAGGCATTGTGAGGGCACAGCACAAAAGGAAAAGGGCATGGGGAGGGAGGAGGAAAAAAGCAAACTCATACACCAGTTACTACTCTTATGATGACCAGCTGAGAAGCAAGCAACTTGAGGTAAATGGATGGAATGACGGCTGACTGTTAAGGGAAAAGCAATGGGATTTTGTGCCTCTGCAGAGCCAAACGAATAGCTCTGCTTCCCTTCTGCCTCTGGCTGTCACTTTGTAAGCTTTTCATGAATCATCTCTTGCTTTTGTAATACAGTTTCAAGAAATGTCGCCTGGCCTGTATGGAATCTTTCTTAAACAGCATGCTTATTTTCTTCTCGTTTTTTCTAGATTTATTCTTCTAGGCAGTAGTCAAGAAAAAAAGCACAATGGAATTCTACGAGTCCCCCTACTTCCTCGTCCTTGTCCCCTCTGTCGTGATTGCTGTTATCTTCCTTTTCTTCTGGCTTTTCATGAAGGAAACGCTCTATGATGAGGCCCTTGCAAAACAAAAAAGGGACCAAAAGTTTCCACCTGTCAAGACTGATAAAAAGAAAGCAGAGAAGAAGAAGAGCAAAAAGAAAGAGGCCCAGAATGGAAACCTGCATGAATCTGACTCGGAGAGCGCCCCCCGAGACTTCAAGCTGTCTGATGCTTTGGGGGCAGAGGAGGAACACATGCTTCCCGTCCTGATGGGCATGACAGAGGCTCCAAGCAGCCTCCGAGAACGCAAGAAGAAGGAGAAGAAGCACAAAGGCAGTCCAGAGGAGCACGTGCCAAGGGAGTTAGACGCATCCAGGCCCGCAGGGAAGAAAGTGGAACCTGTGCCTGTTACGAAGCAGCCCACCCCACCATCGGATGCAGCTGGGTCCAGAAAGAAGGCTGGGCTGAAAAAGCAGAAAAACGGAACAGGTATGTCCATGCTTCTGCTTGTCTTTTGGGGATAGGTAGTTTAGCCAACTCTCTGTATTAACTTTATTTAAAACTGTTGTTTTACTCTGTTGTTCCTCTGGAAAGGCTCCCAGATTGGCTCACAGATATAACAAACCAGGCAGCCCCTACCTGCCAGCTTACTGTCTAAATTGCACAGCACAGAAAGAAAGGGGAAAGGGGAAGGAAGAGGCAAACAAGAAACCCAGGCACCATGTTTTGCCATGACAAGGTTTGTGTTACGGCCAGCTAGGATGGAATTAGGCGGCTCACAAATCAAGAGAAGGTATTGGCAGGCCTATGAGAGAGACTCTGGTGAGCAGTGAGGGTAGCTGTAATGCAGGGGTGGACAGAAAGCAAACCTCCAGATGTTCCAGACCTGGCAGGGGCTTCTGGCCATTGAAACCTCAAACATCTGGAGACTGAGCTGGTGCCCATGCCTGCTGTACTGAAGCCTGCAGATGTTGGCTTACAGGTGGGGCCTCGCGGTGTTGGCCAGTACCTTGTCTCTCCTGCGGTGACAGGCAAGGCTCGCTGGCGCTGGGAGCAAAGGAGTGAAGCAGGGTGATAAAAGCCTAGTCTGAAAGCTTCCTGGTCGGGGAAGCAAAGGGGACAGTTGCAAATGACTGAGCATTAGTCTGGACTTGCTTCTTAGCCCAAAGGTACAGCAGAAGGTCTTCCACCCCAGTGGGCACCTGGTGACCCTCTGTATGTATTTCACAGTTCCTCATCATGGGCTTTGCTGGCTGGGGTTGTTGGGAATTGTAGGGTAAAATACCTGGATGGACACAAGCTGCCTATCACTGTTTTACTGACTGCTTTAAAGTCAGTGCTGATTCCAGGTGCTGAAGGACCTGGCAGGCCACCTGTGGTTCTCCTCCACCGTATGTAAATCCACCTTTCTCCACCTTTGCCATCAGCTGTTCTTGCACTTCCACCTCTTTCTCGTGATTGCTTCCACTTGCTTGTTTGGCAGGCGCAGAGCCAGGGAGCAAGAAGGTAGGGACACCCTTATAATGTAAGGGTTCGAAGCTAAAATGAGAAACGTGACCCTGCATTTAGTTAGTGAAGCTGAATATGAATTAAGTGCTTTCCACTGTAGTCCTATAGCTGCACAACCTGGGAGTAAGCAGGCTTCTGTTCTGTTCATGGGGTTGTTGTGCTGTTAAAACGTCTATTGATTTTCAGTGTATTTGAGCCTTTCCTGTTGAAGTCAGATGGTCTTTAAAAGCGCATGGCTTTGGTTTGCAGTTCCTGTCTTTTGGATCAAAACAGCAGAAAGATTCAAACAGGTAGCATGATTTACAGTCTGCTGCAAGGGCAGCTGGAAGGGCCAGTCCATATTTTCTGGAGAAGTTGGTGTAAAAACACATCCCTGATACAGGAAAAACATCTGTGCACATTTAGCAATTTAATATCTGAAACGGATGGCCAGTAGTACCTTTGATGCAATTGGGCCTTACAGAACTATTGAGAGAACTGAGAAGCAGCTTTTTTTCTCTTCAGCTTATGCGACAGCCAGTTGAGGAAGGAGCGTGAGACTGGTTCAGCTTGATGGCATGACCTAGCAGTTCAAGGGCACAGTGTCTGCTTGCAGGGAGGGGCAAAGTCTGTTTCCTAAGAGTTGTGCAGGGTATTTGCAGCTGTGTGAGCTCAGCGCACTGCTAGTGAGGCAAGATTTTATTAGTAACGGGAGGAGTTTCAAAATCGGAAATGGCATAAGGATGAGGTTTCTGCTGCTTAGAGCACTCCGGCTTTCATGAGGAAGAGGCTTTGTAGTACTTCAGGACTGCTTTGCCTTAACGTGGTGTGAAGAATTTTACCTGCTACCTCTTGCATCAGTAGGCTTAATTCACGATGCTTTTGCACCTCCTGATTTTTTTAGAAAAAAGTTTTGCTGCCTGTAGGATGCAGCTTCAAAAACAGAAGAAATATTCTGTTGAGCGAAGTAAGCTTTCAGCCAGTACCGAACTTGACCCCAGCTCCAGATGTTCAGAGAAAGAGAAAGAAAATACTTGTGGTATGACTAGCCCATTGTTCATTCTTGGTTGCAGTTCTGCTTTAACCAGTTTGCTGATATTCAAAGCCTTTTCACCTGCTTCTAATAAACTTACAGGAGCAGCAGTGGTACCTTCAAGACTAACGCGTTCATCCTGGCCTTTGCCTTCATGGGCAGTGCCCTTGTCGTCAGGTGCATGACGTGCTAATCTTTTGCGTACATATGCTCTGTGTGTCTGTGTGTAGAAGGCGGAAATCGTTTTGTCCAGGGAACTGAATAACTGGTTGTTATTCCTAAAACATTGTTGGGAGATAAACCGGTAGTAACGTCCGCCTTTGTGGTGAAGGAGGCACTCACTGAATGGAGCTTGTATAATGCAAGAACGGTGTCTGGTTGTTTTCAGAGCATATCTATCTATTTATTTAGAAAATTTCTATGCCGCCCCATTCGCCAAAGCCTCGGGGCGGCTCACAAAACAGCAATTAAAATATAATACACTAAAAATATAAAATGAATTAACAATATAAAATAAGTCGCCCTGGCCAAAGAATAAAATAAGCAAATAATATTAGCAATTAAAATGACGTTTGAATAAAAAGATCTTGGCCTGGTGCCAAAAAATAAATAACGAGGGCGCCAGGCGGACCTCTCTGGGGAGCACATTCCACGGATGGGGCGCCACCGCAGAGAAAGAGAAGGCCCTCCTCCGAGGGCTTTCAGATACATCATATCTGTATGATTTGTGCATGGGCACACGTGGCCTGTTTTTGTGGGCCTGCTCTTGAGTGGATCCCTCATTTTTTGTGGTGGCCAGGTTTTATTTTGAAGGTGCTAGTCTGGGGAGACCCAAGTTCTAATTCCCACGCCCAGTTGGCCGTGAAACTCCCCGGATGACTTTGGGTCAGACACTAACCCTCAGCCTTGGGAACCTTGCAGGAAAAATGGTGGAATAGAAATATAATACATCAAAGAAATAAAATGTGGGTTTCATGGCTAAGTGTGGGGAGGGGGTGGAACCCAGATCTCCTGAGTCCCAGTCCAGCATTCGTAACTACTGTGTCACATGGGCTCTCACAGGAATGTTGGGGACCGGCTTACCGGTATCTAAGTAAATATATGCACATACACGCGCCTTTGTGCTAATGGGCTATAAAGGACAGTCTGTCTCATCTTATCTTTTTTTATAGATGACCATGATGTCAAGAGTGATTCATTTGTAACCCCAACCAAAAAGCAAGACCCTATCCTGTTGCATCATGAGATAAAACAAGAAAGCGGATCAGGGAAGAAGAAAGTATCAGCAAAGAAACAAAAGACAGATAATGGTAAATCTCTGCTTTCTGTATGTGGGTGTGTTAGGGTGCTTGTTTGTTGGAATTTGCGCTCAGCGCTCTCCCCTCCCTGTTCCCTGAAGCCAAATCAGAATTGTGGAGAGGCAGACTGAACTTTGCTCCATCGCCTCAACCTTCCTTCTTTTATCCCGAGCTTGATGGAAGTAGCAGCAAGACCTCTTGCCTCTCCTCCTCTTCCCAGTTGGTGCAAGCTGTATGCCAGGTGTCTTCAGTGAAAGACAGCAAGACGGGAGACCCTGGGCTCTCCGCTTGTATGGAAGGCAAGCCCAGGCACGATCTGGAAGACATTCATGCTTGCTCTGCACTGGTGATATAGAAGCGCTCATGTTTAAAATTTGTCTATTTCATTAATTGTCAAAACTGACAAAGAGATGCAGGTGGCACAGTGGTTTAAACTGTGTGCTGCTGGGCTGGTTGATCAAAGCGTTGCCGGTTCGAATATGCACAACGGGGTGCGTTCCTGTTGCTCCGTCACAGCTCCTGCCAACCTTGCTGTTCGAAAGCATGCAAATGCAAGTAGGTACCACTTTGGTGGGAAGGTAAACAGCATTACATGTACTTTGGTGTTCAGTTATGCTGGCCACATGATGACGGAGACTGTCTGTGGACAAACGCTGGCTCCCTCGGCTAGGAAGTGGAGATGAGCACCACCCCCTAGAGTCAGACATGACTGGACTTAACGTCAAGGGGAAACCTTAACCTTTGCCTTTAAAGGCTAGCTACTCCAAGGGTAGTGTCATGGCCTAAGTTTTCTTGGCCTAGTCCATTTGCTTGGACTCAAGTCCCCAAGGGTTTGTGCCATGGCACGGGTCAGACTAAAGCCACCAGCACCAGATTTAGACGGCAGTCCCTGGGAAAGCTTTCCTGAGTCCTGTTTTGAAGTACACACATGAGCTTGAATTAGCTGCAGGCCAGGCCTTCAAAAATGGATATGTGGAGAAACCTGTAGGCAAGCATTTTGTTCTGGGAAGTTTTGCTTTTGACCCCAGAGTTGCTCTACTCACGCAGAATGTGATCGGAGGTTGCTAAAGCCAGGAGGTCATTGGACTGGAGTTCACTGACACGCTTTATGCAGTTTTGATTGGGCCGAAGGCTGACTTAGGTCAACTGAGTCGCCACTGACATGTGTCCTCCTGGATGCAATATCAGGAAGGACTCGCAGCAGCTGCCCACAAGGGCTGGAGGCATTTAGGCCCATCTGTGTCGGAAGCCTGCTTCGGTGGCTGCAACTTACTGAAGTCGAGGAATAGAATCCCTGGGTGGAATTGCTGCCTCCAATTTATTAAAGCCTCGTTGGGCCTGACACCCTCCACCTGTGCTGGTCTGCAACTTGCATGATTCCCATGGGGAATCATGGGAATTGTAGTCCAAAGCATCTGGAGGATGCCAGGTTGGGCAAGTCTGTCTGTGTCTGTTACATCTCAGCTTTGTCTGTGCCTGTGTTTTACCATCACGTTGCAATGAGTTCCCTTCCTCCTGTGTGCACGGGCATATGTTTTTAAAATAACTATATCCTTGCTTCCGTAAATACACTTTGGATCATATGTCTGGTGTCTCAGCCATCTCCAGCGTTCACTTCATGCAGTCTGGCGAACTAGGCGCGGTGCTATGAAACCTTGTCTGACACAAGCGCCTTTGCAACAGGTCTCTTCCTCCATTTTATAGCCCCTCTTGATGTCTAAAGCTCAAGACGAGCAACATCACGTACTTTTGTGGTTCCCGTCTTCCCTCACAGGATTGTGCCTGTGTCACTTTTGTGACGGGAATGTAATCAGGCTGTGGTGTTCTTGCAGCCAGCCCTGCTTATCTGTCTCTGAAACCGTGTTTTGCTTTCCCGTAAACTGCTCAAGGCAACTAGGTTTGACTCATGGGTCAAGCAATGGTATGCCAAGAATCCAGGCCGCAGCTGCATGACTGAGTTTAATTACACTCCACACAAGCCAGTCTCTGACATTGTCCTCTTGGTCGTGAGTGAAAGAGACTGCAAGGAGCTCACCTGGAACCACTCCTAGGTGGTGGGGGCGACCAGATGTTTTAGCTTCCAGCTTCCATTATCCCTCAGTATTGGCTGTGCTGATGGGAGTTGCAGGCCAAACATCTAGAGGGCCCCAGATTGCCAGCGCATCTTATGGCACAGGTAGAGAATGCCTAGGCCAGATCTGGCTTGTGTCCAGGCTTTATCTGGCCAGCAATGTCTTGGGCCTTTGTCTCATTTTGTTGTGTCTCCTATACCATTCTTCTCACTTTCTGGGGCCCAACATTTCTTGAGTTTATAGTAAATGAGTGGAGGGCCATGTTCCGCTGATTTTATGTCAGAGAAGTCCTTGAGGTGGGCTGCATTCCAGTGGTTGGTGGGCCCAAAGACCAAGAGGTGTGTGTGTGGGGGGGGGGGGGGGGGAGGTCAAAACCCAACATAAAACTGCCAGCACATTTTAATTTTTAAACCTTTTTACTGCCAGTAGCTGAGCCGAAGAGAGGCATGTCAGTCATTTAGTATGGGGGGAAATTCCATAAAGGGAAACCAACAACTGACAGTCAGGGAAAAGGAGTGCGGCTTTCTGTTTTCAAACCCCATTTTTATCAACGTGTCCAGGGTGGTAAGAGTGCTGCTTGGAAACAAAGAGACAAAACAGGATAAAATAGATCGGAGCAGCTGAGCAAATTAGCAGCCGTGGACCGCCGAGTTTGACTGAGTGCTGCTCAGGTTGGTGGAAGCGTTCTGTTTCCTCAGGCGTTTGCGCGCAGAGTCAGACAGGTCTGCTCACAGGCCGCTCCACAACCTGGATTGCCCCTCAGGGCACCTCAGTGAAGAGACAAGAGAATTTACTTCTCCGCAGTAAAACAAGCAGCAAATACCATGCTTTGTGAAGCCATGCGTTGGGCGAGTGCGTGCAGAATTCTCGTTCTGAGAGTTCTCAGAATTTGCCATTCAAATGATAATCGTCGTTCTCCAAGTTGCACGACATATTAAAACCACATTTGCGGGTGAAAGACACACTGACTTCTTCATCATGAGTAAAAAAAAAAAGGGGGGGGGACTTAGTTTTACTTTACAGTGGGCTCAAGCACGCCCTATCAAGAACATGTAATAATACATGCAAATGAATTTTAAAAAACCACAGAGTTTGGTTTGACTGTCGGCATGTTGCCCCCTCCCCCCGGTTATGCCTCTCCGTTCTATAGAAATGTAATCTAAACTCCAATTCCAGCAGTCAGTGGAGTTGCTATCGCTGTGTGTCTTTCACCAACATCAGGAAATAGAATGATGTACGTCGCAACCATCACATATGGCCAGCATTGGCCACACGTCCTTTGTCTGCCCTTTCAACTTAGGGGGTGGGGAAGGAAGGCGTCCTGACTAGAACCTCCATCAGGAAAGCCCCTTGTCCTTAAAACTGTTAATCCACAGTTTTGGATTACAAGCAGACCCCAGTATGGAAATGTATTTATTTCAGGGGACCTTCCTTGGTTTACCAGCCACTGTTTCTCTTGATAGTCTCTTTTAATATTATGTCTTATTCTTTCTGTCTTTTAAAATATTTGTTTTGCCTTTTAAATTATTGCACACTGCCTTTATGGTTTTTCAGCAGATGAGGGGATATATAAATGTTAATGTGACTTTAAAAATAAATCACTGCCTTCCAGGTTTACATTATTTATTTTATATGTCACCTTTCCACCCAAAGATCTGAGTATCTTTAACTATTACAGGTAGTAATTTATATTATATAAAGTACTGCATTTATACCATACTTTTCCCCTCCAAGGAGCCCCAAGCGGCTTACATGAGCTGCCTCTGCTCAATTTTCTCCTCACAACAACAAGCCTGTGAGGTTGGTTGGTTGGTTGGTTGGTTATTTATTTATTTATTTAGAAAATTTCTATGCCACCCCATTCACTGAAGCTTCAGGGCGGCTCACAACACAAATTTTTATTTATTTATTTATTAAAACATTTTTATGTCGCCCCATTCGCCGAAGCCTCGGGGCGGCTTACAACATAAATCAATTAAAATAATATAAATTAACAATATAAAATAAGTTAACAATATAAAATAAGTCACCCTGGCCAAAGAATAAAATAAATAAATACTATTAACAGTTAAAATGACGTTTGAATAAAAAGGTCTTGGCCCGGCGCCGAAAAACAAATAACGACGGCGTCAGGCGGACCTCTCTGGGGAGCGCATTCCGTAGATTGGGCGCCACCGCAGAGAAAGCCCTCCTCCGAGTACCTACCCTCCTAGTTTCCTTCACGGAGGGTTCCCGGAGAAGGGCCTCTCCCGCCGATCTCAAGGGGCGGGCGGGCATATATGGACGTAAGCGCTCCTTCAGGTAACCAGGACCCAAGCCATTAAGGGCTTTATAGGTCATCACCAACACCTTGAATTGGGCCCGGACTTCAATGGGAAGCCAGTGAAGCTGACAGAGGACTGGAGTCATGTGAACATAATGCCCAGTCCCCGTCAGCAGCCTGGCAGCAGGTAGGCGAGGTAACTGGCTGGGAGTCATCAGGCAGTGTGGGGACTCAGACTCAGGGTGAACTGAGGTTGCCTTAAGTCTCTTTGTCACAGTGCAGCTCTCCTGAAAGTGAACTACGTAACCGAAGCAGGTTTCAGGCTGCGTGGGAAGAATATAAGTGAAGGAAACTAAAAAAATATCCAGACATTTTAAGTCCCTCTTACCATATTCAATGTGTTCCCTAAAATCCCAGTTGCACCGTTGGTGGACGAGCCATTGATTCATGCGACAACCTATATCCCACTGATGGATAACACTGAGCAGAACCTGGCGATGGAAAAGAAAGACGTAGCTGACCTGGGGAAACAAGATGGGAATGAAGGGATACTGAAAACTAATGTGAAGAAACTGAAGAATGAAACCGATAAAGGTACTGGTGCACGGAGGCGGCATGAGCAACAGTTTGTGCTGTGGAGCTTAGAAATGTGGTCAGTGCAAGCAGAGTCTGAGAATGGGTGTTTCCCTTGGGTTGAGTTTCCCTCCTTCCTGGTTGAGAGAAATGTGAAGATGTGAGCAGGTGGGTAATTTCTCATCAGTGGGAAATGTCTCTCATCTTTCCTTCCAGCTTTTACTAACAGGGGAATCCTGCAGCTTAATTGGCAGGGTTGGATCGGCTGTTGATGTGGAAGCAGCAGAAGAGACGAAAGGCACTTCTGCATGCTACAATTGCAGGGTGGTCACACCCTCACATTCATGGCAGGTACCATTTTGGCCGATGGCAAGGAAGTTACGCATTTTCAAAACCAGGGTGGATCTAAAAACTAGATTTAAATAATAGTTTTCTATATAATTTTGCACACATACCTGCCTTATCCATAGGTAGATGGACTTCATCAAAATAGTTCCAAACTGGGTCTCTTTTGCAGCCTGCTGCCTTTATAGGTTTTCTCCTCTACAGAAAAAATAATAAGATAACCCTCAGGCTATATGCAAAAAGATCCAAAGACGTGTGCAATATTCTGCTCAAAAGAGTTTACTTTTTACTGCTTGCTCCTCCCTCCTCACACTTAGCTTAATTTATTTATTTATTTATTAAAACATTTTTATGCCGCCCCATTCGCTGAAGCCTCGGGGCGGCTTACAACAATAAGTTAAAAAATAATTATAACATTAAATTAAAAAAGCTTCTTGTGCAGATCTATTCTACTTCCAGCCATCTTCTTCCATTCATTGAATTTTTGCAACTTAGCACTTAAGAGGTAAGGGGTTGATTCTGTCTGTGTAGATTTGCAAAGGAAAATGGGATTAAGATCTTTTTCTTAACTCTGCATGTTTCTTTTATAACATTTTTGCTGTGAAGAAGAGGCACATGATCTCTGCAAACACAAATTCACAATTTTGAGAACTGTTAAACCAAGCAGCTGTGATAATATCTTCTAGGCGGAAAAACTGCCCAGTAATCTTACCAAAACCTCTGGAAGAGCATGGCACTATGATTGGATCAATGGAATACCACCTGAATATAGAGCTTCATGCTACATAATTTAATTATTATATATTTATTCAACTTATGTTCTGCTATACTAGTCTGAAGACTCTAAGTGGATTGCAATATTACATAAAATAACATTAATAAAACCAACAATAAACAAAATTTACAATAAAGTAAATTTCTTTTACAATAAAACAAAGAAATATGCAGCTTTAAGCCTTATTTCATGATAATTAACCTTTGGACTACAATGGATCTTCTGTGTTTCTATGTTGGACAACCACATGCTGGAGATTACATGAGTGGAGCCAGCTGGAGCTGGTGGTCGGATTAGATGGCGCATGAGAACCCTTCTGACTCATTTTGAGTCTATATTTTTCTGTATCTTAAATAGAAAACTACATCCTCAAAAAGCATTTTATTAATAAAAATCCAATTTAAATTTCTAAAAATTCTATTTTTAAAAAAGCACCATTGATTTCCCCATTTCACCATTGTGACACCAGTCTGTCTTGCAGCTGCAGCGGTGAGGTGGCGGTTTCTGAATCTGCTGCACATCTGGCCCATACCAGCCTAGCTAATGCACACAGAAATTATAGGTGTTGCCTCTGTGTTTTCCTCCAGTCTGTTCCTGTAGTCCGGCTGTGCAGTTTCATTATGGCTGTGCAGCCCCGCAACTGGCCCTCATGTCCTTCCTGCTTCTCTAACCGCCTTCAAATGCAGCGTGTCCGTTTCCTGTGTGGTCTTGGATTTGCCCACCCGAATTAACAACATTCCACTTTCTTGAGCGGTAAACTTTCTGGGAGCATCAGCAGGAGTTTTTTGTTTATTAACAAAATTGAGCCAGATCCTTCCCCTCTGTGTTGGGAACTGTTGCTGCCTTGATTTTGGGTTAGTGCTGGCCTAGCCTGGCCTGTTAGATAATGGTTTTGTGCGGCCCAAGTGAAGCTGGTGCTTATGGTTGGTCAATTCCAGAAAAGGTTCACTTCAAGGGATCTTAGGTGCCATTGGTTCTCCAGGTAATAGTTTGGTGGTGGTGGTGGTGATAATTAAACTCAGTCCTCTCTGCCAAGCTTTCGCCACCCTTGTTCTCGACAGTTATATGTATATCTCCCAACAGCCGATGAGCCGCAGTTATGTCCTTTTTATCCTTCCTGTTTCTCCTGTCAGAAAGAAAAAGGCTTTCCCTGCTAGTGCTCCTCATGTTTTAAGCATTGCTGCTGGTTTTCTTGTAGAAAACGCAGAGGTGAAATTTAAAGACTTTCTGTTGACTATGAAGACCATGATCTTGACAGAAGAGGAGGCCCTGAGCATGGTGGAGCTGCTGAAAGAGAAATCCAGTGTGATGCAGGACATTCTGCAGAAGGTAGGTGTTGCGGGTTGGTGGCAGCACTTCCCTGGAGAACGGGCTGCCAGGTTTGTTAGGCCTTACAGGTAAGGGCTGCTTCTGAAATTTCTTGATGGCTCTTATTAACAGCGTTTATATTTGCATTGTTAGTATCTTGTTATACTCCCCGTGGATAGAGCTATTTAAGGGTGTGCCAGACATCTTATAAACAGATGACACCTACCCTTGGTTTATTTAATCCATATTTAAACCAGGGTTTGTTGCCCTACTCTGCATTTGTCTAGCACAGGGGTCAGCAACCCATGGCTCCGGAGCCGCATGTGGCCTTTTCATCCTTCTGCTGTGGCTCCCTGTCGCTCAAAATGTGCGACACCCGCTGGCATGCGGTTTATTGAGCTTTTCGACCCCCAGTAGGCCAACCATGGATAAATCCAAGAAAAGAAAAGTTTCAGAAGAAGACAGAACATTTAATGGTATGTGGGCAGATTCATTTGCTGTCACTGCTGACGAGGCTGGTTTACCAGTCTGGGGTAAAAAACGATATATGCAGTGTTATCTTCATTTTAGATGTCAAAAGAGTTGTGTGGCTCCTGGTGTTGCCTTTTCTCTGGGAAATTGGTCCAAATGGCTCTTTGAGTGATCGAGGTTGCCGGCCCCTGGTCTAGCAGATGATTCAGCCAATGGTAGAACAAAATGATGAGACATAATGTTGACCTGTGGATAATCAGAAATGGAAGCTTCTGCTCTCCTTGTCGAGATCAATCAGAATGGACAGTGGCTTATTGTGACTTCTGCTCCATCCCTTTGGCTCTTCTGATCTGCATTATTTAGTTGTTATTTGTTGCAGGCCAGTAAGGGAGATTCGGCAACTGCTCTGCACCAGCTGCAAGAAAAAGACAAGCTACTTGTGGCAATGAAGGAGGAAGCTGCCCTTGCAAGGGAACAGTGTAAACAGCTCTCACAGGTACAGCTGCTCTCAGGGTAACGAGGGGGAACTTTAGGCATACTGGCAAAGCCAGTCACATGGGGAGAAGGGATCCTCATGGAAACGGATAAAAGGAAGTCCTTCTTCACACAGTGCATAGTCAGACTACGGAATTCTCTGGCATGGGAAGTGGGGATCATCGCCAGTCTGGAAGGCTTTAAAGGGGGATTGGACAGATTCATGGAGCGGGGGGCTCTCCGTGGCTACTAGCCTTGCTGGCCATGTGGTCCCTCCTTCCCCAGAGGTGGCCTGCCTGCATCCACCTATTGCCGTGTAAGACTTGCACCATCCTGCTGGAGGGATCCTGTGGGCAGCTGGTTTGCCACTGCACGAACAGGGCGTTGGATGTTGGTTTGGAGGGACCCTTGGCTGGTTCAGCTGGGCTCTTCTTACGTTCTTTAAACTCCACATGGATAAAATTATAGTTACTTGCTCTTCAGGCATTTCCATAAGATACAGGGTGGCACTGCTGGGACTCCCTGGCGCTAGCCTTTTCCATCTCTTGAGCAGGAAGCGCAAGTCCAACTCGTGTGAGGGAAATATGAGTAAAATGGGAAGATGGAGGGGGGAGGGGGGAGAGAAAGAGAAATATGCATAATGAACTCCCTTCATGGCCCTTTCTCACTGCAGCTTTGTCCAAAGGAGGGCAACAATGCCTTTTACATTTATACATTATATATTTGTATATTATAAAATTTTATTTTTATTTTATAAAATAAATAAAATAATAAAAATAAAATATTATGAAATTTACATATTATGTAAAGCGTACTGTGCTCCAGCCCCTCCAGCTTCTCTGGAGTAGTTCTGTTTTCTCCCCAAATCCCCCACCTCAGGATTCCTGAAGGTCTCATCCACTCTAAAATTACTCCCCCGTTGCTGCCTCCAGCTCCTGGAACATCCTCCCTGGAGAACATGCAGAGTCACATTTTTCTCTGTCTAAGTCCCACTTCAGATAGGAAGACTTTGGCTCAGTCCCTTAGTGCTGCCTCTCAACTTAAAACGGAGACCCAACGTGCGTGCTCGCTTTTGCTGGCATCCAGTTCCCATTAATGTCTGGCATGCGCAGGAGCTGTTCGCTTGCCCCAGTGAGACATCCTTTGATGTTGTCCTAGGAGCTGGTTTCAGAGAAAGAAAGAAGCAACTTGGTCGCGACAAAGATGAGAGAGCGAATCGGCACGCTAGAAAAGGAGCATGGGGTTTTTCAAAACAAAATCCACGTGGGTTTCCAAGAAACCCAACAGATGAAGATGAAGGTAAAAACCCAGCTTTCGGTTAGAATGTACACTTCTTCTTGACTGGCTTTAGGGGGCACCAGTTGTCTTACCAAAAAAAACTTTGTGCTTTGCTTCTGCAGTGTGAGCCTGTGGAATTTCAATATGGGGGTTCTGGTCATTCTCAGGAGCCTTCTGGGGACATTTCTGCTTAAAACAGCGTGAATTCTGTGTTGGTCCCAGTCCTCCTCCTCCGTACCAGTGCCATTCCTTGAAATTCATGCAGAAATGAAAGCAAAGCAAGTGATTTAAGCTGACTTAGACTTCGAGCGTATGAGCATTTATTAACATATTTGGGAAGAGTTGGAGTGTCTTGTATGTTTGTTCATATATCCATCCAGTTCTGTTCTTGAATTGTTTTAAAGGCACAAAAATTTACAAGTTTTTCAATCACACATTTTCACAAATCACACATTTTGCCCTACGATGCACATTTTATATGTATTTGGATACGGTTTTTGAGTAGAAATTCTGAATCGTGCAAAAACTGGCATATAACTGTATTCTGATCTGCATATTAGTCTGGGAAATCAGGTTAAGAATGTGGCCCAGACAAAATCTTGAGCCCCACTACTTTGAAGGGGCTCTCCGGGTCATCTGGGCAGACTTCTCACATACTTCCTATTAGGGCAGGAGGCATGACCCCGGGTAAAGCACCTGTATTGCATTCAGACAGTCTGTGGTTCAGCCACTAGCATTTCCAGGCTGGGAGGGAAGAAGTCTTCCCTAAAACCCCAGGGAGCTGCTGCCAGTCAGAGTCAGCAGTACTGTGGTAGATGGTTCAAGGGTGTCCCTTAGTATGAGGCAGCTTTGTATGCAGGAAGGGCTGTAGAGCAGAAAGTCTCCAGCTGAATGGCGGAGTCCATAGTTTGCATGCAGAAGGCTCCTGGTTCAGTCGCAGGCAGCATCTCCAGGTAGGGCTGGGCAGGACTTGTGGGAATCCTGGGAGGGCTGCCGCCGCCACTCGGCGTTGACAAGACTGGGCCGGATGGACCAAGATCTCACCCATCTGAGGCAGCTTTGGTCCTTCCCACCTGTCTTACGCATGTTGAAGAAAACTGCTGGGGTAACCCAAAATGTTAGCATGCTTTGTTGCAGTCTAAAAGGGACAATAAAATTGGTGCAATGTTTCTTCGAGGGACTACTAAAAATGGGATTCCCCACTCCCTCCCAATCTCTAGTTCCAGCAACTTCGTGAGCAGATGGAGGCAGAGATCAGTCGCCTGAAGCAGGAGAATGCTATCCTGAGAGATGCTGTTAGCACTTCCACCAACCAAATGGAAAGCAAGTACGCTGTTGCGGTGACTCCAGTAAAACCTCTGTTTGATCTGAAATGGTGATGATGAACCTATTGTAATTATGAAGTGGTTGAGGCGTTTGCTTCTTGAAGGTTAGTTGTGCCTGGCTTGGTTTCCGCAGGGTGCCTTCCCTTAGTTCCCTTGCAATATGCTGAGGAACTTGGAGTCTTTGAGAAAAAGGTACTAACTCATCGTTTTGTGTACTGTAGGCCAATAAAATGGGGGGATCTCCATCTTCAAGGCCAAGCAGGTTGATTTTTTTTAAGCTTTGCTAGCCACTGTAGATTTGGCTTCTTGCTTAACCCACATGTCAGAAGGATCAGTTTGGTGAGAAGTCTGATGATGCCCTGTTTTTAGTTAGAGGCTCAGTGTTGCCCATTGATTTGATTCTTTCGGCTCTTATGGTGTATCTGCACAAATGTGTCTCTCAGTTTGTTGAAGAGAAGGCTGGCAGGCAAGTTCTTGTCCACTAGGAGAAGAAGGGGGTCACTTAGGGAATGCACAAGCCCCACCCCAATGTCTCCGGTTTTCAGCCAGCTCTTCCCCCTTGCCTGGTAACCTTCCTAAAGGGAGCAGCTACAGGAGCGGGAATTCTCAAGGAATGAGTGAGTGGCTCCCTTGTAATTTCAGCAATCACTTGGCCTTCACCACACTGCCAGTGACGTGGTTCAGAGAACATGCCAGCCCCTTATGGACAGTCCCTTTCAGCAAAGCTTTCAGCGCTCGATGACATCCTTTATTTATTTATTTATTTATTTATTTATTTATTTATTTATTTTCTGATTTATATTCTGCCTTTTTCCTACAAATGGAATAATGGACTTAAATTGGCCAGATTCTGGCTAGATATCAAGAAGCACATCCTGATGTAGAGCAATGGAGCCAGTGACCTAGGGAAGTTTGGGCTCTCCCACACTGGGGGCGTGCAGGAGGCAGTTGGACAGCCATCTGACAGGGGTGCTTTAACTTGAGGTCCTGCACTGGACAGGGAGGTGGCCTCGATGGCCTTCTGGCCCTTTCCAGCTCTACTCTTCTATGAGTCTATGCCGCATGCCGCAGCATGTTGTCAGGCTGTTTCCTGCAGTGTGGGTGGATTTTCCCCGTTCTTTTTCCCAGCAAACCATCCGGAGTGCGCACGGGGGGTTCTTGGGTTTGTGGGCTGTCATGTCCTCCGAATCCAGGCAACGTGTCCCACCGTGGGCCAAGAGAAACAGCAAGCAGGGTGCTGCCCAGAGCAGCCAACAGATCCTTTACTGCTCTTGGTGATCTTGCCTTGTGCAGCTGCCATGGATGAGACCTCTGAAGTGTCTAAGGGGCACTCTGGAGTGGGTGTCACTGGTTGGCCACCCCTTAACTTGTGTGCAGATTTTTCACAATTTTAAACAATCATTCGTCTAGCAGGAGTTGCACACACACAGAGATGTGCACTCTTTCATGTCCAAAATACGATAAAAGGACCCAAATTTTGGCACAGCAAAATCAAGAGGCGTAAGCAAAATTTTGTAAATGCCTGGGCAAATCAAAAGGTTTTAACCTGTTTCCTTTAGCACCAGGAGGTTTTTCTGTGGAGTGGCATTCCAGAGTCAGGGCATCATCTCAGAGAAAGCTCACACTTTTGCAGCTTACACATAAACTTCTCTTGCGGAAAGAAATTGATAAGAGCTGCCATTGCTATAAAACCTCTACCTCTGGGCTAGCTTCAGGCACACATGATCCATCCTGTTATGTCCAAGATTCAGCTTTTTATTGAAATTATTCTTCAAGGTTTTTGTGAGGCCTTTGGATCTCTGTAGAGCTATGTGCTCTCACCTTTCTGGGTGACCTTTTTTGGTAGGAGGTCATGTGTGGTGCTTTTTCCCCCAGCCCAAAATTTGCAGCTGCTTTAGAACCTGAGAGCCTGCAAACCCAGGAGCAGTAAGACCCATTTGGACAAAAAATGGCTTCCCTGGATTCTGAACTGAATTGTGAGGGGAATGTGGAATTGTCACAACAGAGGCATGGCCTCTCCCGATAATGTTACAGTGATAGATTTCAAAGCAGGGGTTTCCAGTGCTCAGTTTAGTCATACCCTCAGTCTGGCTGTGGGTGCAAACGTGCTCTGTTTGTGTGGGGAGGCACTGCCTTTCCTACAACGTGACGAGCAACCCCCTGTCTTTGCATCTAGACAGTCGTCGGAGCTCAACAAACTGCGCCAGGACTGTGCTAGGCTTGTGAATGAGCTGACAGAGAAGAGCAGCAAACTCCAGCAGGAGGAGCTTCTCAAGAAGAATGCAGAGCAAGCAGCCAGTCAGCTGAAGGTGAGTGCTGCCTCGCTTCCTGTGGTTGTGGCTGAGGCCAATTCTGCCCCAAACAGGCAAATCGGGGGCTTGTACAGCTGCCAAGGGAATTGTGGTTTGTGAACGCTTGCCGGTAGGGCAGTGGTGAGCAGGGTTTCACCTCTTCACTGATCGGCAGAGGAAGAACGGAAATGGGCAAGTCGCTTCTGAAAGCTGCAGCAGGGTGACTTCAGGGAAGCTGGTAGTGGGAAGAGACGGCGCCTCTGAAACCTTGGCCTGTGGCTCAGCCCGGCTCCAAAGCAGTCTGAGGTCACTGCTGTCAGTGGCCAGGAGGCTGCCTGGACCCTTCTCCCAGCACCCTCTGATGTCCAGGAAAGGTCCTGCTGGGTTTGTTTTTTGGGAAGGGAGGGTGGAAGATGCACCCATTCTGTGGAGGATGCATTACCAGTTCTTGCTGTAGCTTTTGCTTCCTCTTTTGCCTACGGAACCACCGTGTTAACAAGGCCAGCTAAAACTTCTGCAAAGGGCAGTGTGACCCCAAGGGGATCTCTGAACAAGCAGCGCACCGCTTGTTCAAATAGGCAGAACACACAACCGTTGTGTGCTCTCCCTTTAATAGTTACCAGCTCCCGAGACAGGTCAGTGAATTATTATTTTGGAAAAACCTGCTGTCACCAATGTGGGGCTCACGGCCATCCTGTAAGAAAAGCCCACGGGAGCATCTAAAAGCGTGCCAAACTAGCACCCAAAGGACACGTCTGAGTTGGATAAGACTGAGCTGTAAGTTGTGTGTATCCTGTTTCTATTCACTGATTGGTTGTAGTAAGATTAGACTTCAAAACAAAACAAAAACAGACAAAAAAAGAGCAAATCTGTAGCTGGTTCCTTCAGAGCAGAAGTGCTTCCAGATCAAATCTCAAACGATGCATACAACAGAGAAAGGTCATAAATAAAATTGTTGTACAGAAAGGCTCAAGGGTGCAGTCCTGTGCACAAAGCGGCCCACAACTCCCAGCATGCCCCGGTCAGCAGGAAGCTGTGCAGGAACGTGCATCGGGCTGTGCCCCAGCAGCTTTAAAAGACCAGGGAGAGCAGAGCATCATGGCGCTGGGATGGTTCCAGCAGTGGCCGCAGTCAAGCCTCACTGGAATAATCGTCCCGGAAGTGCGGGGGAAACACCCTGCAAAAGCCGCTTGCCATTGTCACGGGTTGGCCTTTCCCTCGCCTGCAGACTTGGAGAAAACCTTAGAAGCACAGTCCTTTGGTTAGACCTGAAGAGCCTACAAGCCCATGTAAATCGAAGTGCCAGCCTCTTTGAGAAGCGGGGGTGGCATCTGCCCATGTACAGAGCCAAACCCACACTGAAACCTCCCGCCCTTCCTCCCTTTAAGCAAAATGCTGACTCCACCCTGGAGGTGGCTCCCGCTGAAAGGCTAGACGGCGGGCACACAACATTTCTTAAAGGGTCCCTGTCATCTCCATTTAGGGTCCAGGAACTCCCCCCATGTTTCTCCCCATGCCAAGCCCAACGGAGAGCCATTCCAGCATTTTGGAATGGTGGAAAACCGCACCGGAGGCTGAGAAGTCGCCAGATGAAGGGGGCATGATCATTTGGGGAGCCCCCACAGGGCCCGGTCTGGACTAAGGGCCTGAGCTTCTACAGCCTTGGCCCACAGCCTGGACTCTTGCAGAGTGGAATTCAAAGCATGGTGTGAGGGTAACGTGAGAGGCGAGAATTGCCCTGGGAGAGGTCCTAGCCCCGGCCAGCAGGAAGGCTTCTAGGCGGCTCAGAGCCTGCATGGAACAGGGATCCTTGGGAACAGTCTCACATGTCTGCTTTGTTGGTTTCACAGCAAGGTCTGTGCCTGTTCTCTTTGTGCGCCCTTGTGCCAGAGGAGGGAAAGAGGAAGACTCTCTTGCTGGCTCATACGGGCAGGGCAGGGCAGGGCAGGGCAGGGCAGCCTCTCTGGAAGCAGAAAGCCACTGCCTTCTTTATTTAGTTTTTGAATTTTGGTGCTCCAGATATTGTGATCCGGTCACCGAGGCAGATGATGCCAATTCCTGCAAAAATGGGTGGTATATCCTACTTCACTCTTGTTACATATGCGTCTCTTGCATGTTGTACTTCCATGGAGCTTCAGTATCTTTCTCAAAATATTGGGTTAGCAAAAATACAGTATTGCAGTGTTCTGCTTCCTAAATTCTGAACTTGAGGACAGCGCAAAAATGTCACAAGCAGCCAGAAGAGGCTTTCTTCCCACTTTGATTTTCCTGTCAATTCTGCGTCTTGAGGGATAATGCTGTAAATGGTCAGTGACGGGTGTTGTTCTCCATTCCTGTTCCCGTCAAGGCACAACAGCAAGAAGCTGAGCGAAGATGGGAGGAAATGCAGAGCTATCTCAGGAAACGGACAGCAGAGCATGATGCAGCCCAGCAAGGTGTGTTCCAAAGGATCTCCCTTCCCTTTTGCGATCACATCCCACCTTCTGGATCCTTTCCCATCTCTGGGAAGAGACTTGGCTTCTCTAGGACCCCTTTCATGGGAGGCAACAGAAGTGTTCCCTGTTAAAGATGTTGGACTGCACTGCATGTACGGATTTATGAGAACTTCATCCCATTTATTTCTGACTCAAATTTACCTGCTTCTTACCTCGCGGTACCAAATGCGAACCAGAACACAGTCTGTGTTTGACACCCACACATTTCTCAGCTTGCAACATGATCTATGCTGCGATTACAAAATTGTTTGAAGAAGTATATGCCTGAAAAACGTACCAGCGGGGAATGTATACATCCCACACTTTTGTACGCACATGATTTAATTAGAGGGTGAAAATGTGTACCTTTCAAAAAACTGCACCACTTATGAATATGTTCAGAAAAGTGTGCACAAAATATGCCCAAATTTTGGTGCAAAAAGATATGAACAAAGCTCGCATTTCGATGCTGACATGAGCTGGAAAGAACTTCAAGGTGGCTATGAGCCAATGTCTGCATGGTCAGACTTTCCTGATTTGCACATTGCCTCCTTATGGCTGGGTTTGTGCTAACCTCTGGCACTCCTGCTTGTGCAAGTTGTGATTCTGGAGCAGAGCACCCCCCACTTGCAGAATCCCCCCAATTCTGCACCCAGCATCTCCAGGCAGGGCTGGAAAAACTCTAGCCGGCAACCCTAGAGAGCCTCTGCTAGTCAGCATTTGACAGTGCTGGGTTAGAAGGCAGTTTCCTACCTTTCTAGAGAAAGGGACTTAATTTTCACTGCTTCCTGCAGTACCTGCTGCAGCCTCCTGATTCCCTTCCACTGCTCCTAAGAGTTGCACCGTGAGATTGGGAACAGTTTGGGATATAATGCAGATGGCTCCAGCGTACATGCGTGTGTTTGTGTCGGGGGAAATTGGTGAAAATTGAGTGCTACTTGTATTTATATGCAGTCTATTCTCAGTGCTGTCTCTTGTGCTGGAAAGTGCTTCCCGCTAGCATAAGGCTGCCAGGGGTTGCAACCCATAGTGCAGACTCCCTATTTTGCAGTGGTGGGAAGCAGTTATGCTCTTGCGTCCTTCCTCTTTCCCCACCCATCCCGGCAGGTGTAGAGGGTCAGCCCTGGATATGGAAGGCTGCTCTCCACTGAGTCAGACCGCCAGTTCCCTGAGCCCAGCATGCGCTGCCTTACACATTTAAAACATTTCCTCATTTGCATTTCCTCGTCTAGTTCAAGGTGACTTGAGCGCTGAGAATGGCAGTGATAAGCCAGCAGTAAAGCAGTTCAAAAGAGCAACAGTGAAGGACCTCATAAAACGCAATAGCAAGCCAGAATTAAAAGCAGAACAATTGACTGCACCAAGGCGGTCCAACTTTTCGTACCTTGAGGGCCGCACGAGCACTTCAGCGTGGAACCTGAGTGGGCTGCGCAATGAATCACGTTTCCATATTATAAATTAAGGTGTTTGCAATATAGTTACTTAATATCTAAAATTAATATATGTAATTAACCTTTAAACGAGGGAGAAAACAGCAGCTCAATTTTAAGATGCTTTTAGGACTAATTGAATGACAGGCCTATGCCTTGTGGTCTTGCGATCCCTGCAGAGATCTCAGGGCACTCCTCCTGCGGCTGCCGCCCAAGCTCAGTGGCCGCTGCTCTTGGGAGGCCCACCCCTTTCCTTCCTGTTCCTCCTGCCCAGAACCCTCCCTGGCTCCTCCTCCCTTCTTGGGATTGGCGTACTGAGCCTCTTGGCTTGAGCTGATAGGTTCTGCTCGGCGTGTCCCGTTTGCTCCCGCTGACCAGCACAGAGGTGCTCAGCATCTTTGTGCTTGTCACCTGGAGAGGCACGGGGCCAAGACCATGTGGTCACAAGAGCCCCATATAGAATTTCAGTAAGCATGCAAGGCCTGATGGTAAATGGACTTCCGTCAGAGAACTCGTTCTCAGGCCTTGTTGGGCTTTCAGGAGGCAGAACTGGGCTCAGCCCAGGAACAAACAGGCCAGCCTTGCAACTGTTCCGGAATGCAGGACATGGTCTTGTTACCTGCCCATACCTGACCAAAGGTGTCTCTCCAGGTCTTTCCAAGCACTGACCCTGAGACGTTACCACTGAGCTGATGCCCTTCACCTGCACCAGCTCTTACATGGGCCGTGAACTCACTGGGTACCTGTAGGCCCACTGGCTGCCCTTCTCAGTACTCCACCTCCATCAAGGATAACATTGGCCTACCTTGCATGACTGTTGTAAGGATGAATGAGATAAGGTGCATGAAGTGCTTTGCACGCTCAAATGCTAGTGGTAATACAGTGTGCAGCGCAGATGCACTGTCAGGAGTAGTAGTTTGCTCTGGGTTCCCCATGAGTAATGATCAGGTGCGTGTGCGTGAAAAAGTGTGCGAGCCCCCATATGCCGTTTCGGAGGATGAGGGTGAACAGACAAAGATAACATCTTTAAGCACAGTTTCTTCTAATTACTTGCCACTAATCCTAAGACTGGCTTTCTAAGCTTGGCCTCCAGTCAGATGAATTTGTAAAAATGCATAACATACTCAGAGTGCTTGAGAAATCCAATGCACAAAGAAGTCATTTCAGTGTTCCATATAGTTTGTTCCATTTATTATTATTTGTACTGAAGAGCCAGTGTGGAGCCACGCTTAATGTTGGACTGGGACTCAGGTGACCCAAGATCTGGTCCCTGCTCGGCCATGAAGCTCCCTTGGATGGCTTTGGGTCAGTCGTTGATTCTCAGCCTAATGTAACTAACAGCACTGTTGTGAAGATAAAATAGAGAAGAGGAAGAACATGTAAGCCACGCAAGGCAGTCTGTGAATGGACAACGGGCAGCGTATTTCTTTATAGCCTTCTTTTCTGCCAAACAGAGTGCCCAGAAACAGTTAACAATACAAAATGTAGGTTAAAAAGTCTAACTTAAAGCATAAGTTAAAGAGGACAAAAATCACAACAATGAAGGAAATATTTAACTCTGCATCAATTAAAGTTCAGCAGTAGATCAGCTTAAACCCCAAAGATTTTAACATGTGAAGTGTGAAAGCAACAAATGTGTGGAATTCTGTTTTACTGCTCAGAAGGACATAGCTGCCTACAACTTTTTAATCCCTTATTCAGAGGTCATATTTCTCTAAATAGCTGCTGAAGGAGGGAGGGAAGCAGGAACAGCAGCCTGTTGGCTTCCCAGAGGCACCTGGTGGCTACTTATCTTTGTTTTATTTATTAGGTTTATATCCTGTCCTTTTCTTTTTTTAAAGAACTTAAGGTGGCTCACATCATTCTCCTCCTCCTCTTCTCAAGCGTACCCCCACAACAACCACCCCGTGAGGCCCAGAGTCACCCAGCTGGCTCTGTGGCTGCTCAGTGTGACCCCGCAGGGCTTTTCTTACCCTTGTTTTGCCAGTTGTTCACTTGCTGATCCACTTGAGCGCGCTGCCATTAAATGACCTGAACCCAAAGAAGGGCAGGTAAAGCACTGGTAGCTTTTGCCTGTCTTATTCCCCTCCTCTTCCACCCCACTTGCTTCTCCTGACAGATGTGCAGAACAAACTTGCAGCCAAGGACAGCGAAATCCAGAGCCTGCACAGCAAACTCACGGATACGATGGTCTCAAAACAGCAGCTGGAACAGAGGATGATGCAGTTAATGGAAGCGGATCAAAAAAGGGCCACAGCTGAGGACACGATCCAGAGGCAGGTGCAGGTATGGCTGCATATCTTGGATCCTGCTTACCTTTGTTCCTTCCCTTCTCCTGTTCCTTTCATGTTTGTTTCTTTACCACATCGGCTTGGCAGAATCCTTCCCACTTTATACCTGGGTAATTAGATTATCCATTTCTTGGAAACTCGTGGCAATGCAGAAAGAGAAGCACAGCTTTCAGCACAGGCATTATCGGTCAACCGTTTGTCCCCAGCAGCCTCTCTCCTACTGTACTGGAACTTCAGGTAGCCCTGACCCGACACCATTAAACCTGTGTTCTGATGGCATCTCACCCAGCCCCTTCTGGGTTCCTACAACCCCGGGCGAGTGAGTGACGCTCCTGAGTAGCCTGCAGCGAACCTGGGAAAGGTGTGTTTTCAGGTGCCTCGCTCCTCTTGTATCATGAAATCTAAGCTCGTTTAATCCAGCGTGTTTATTCTGATGGGTATATCTTGTTTATTTCAGCAGAAAGTGCTCCTGTGGCTTACAAACAATTAAAATGAATCCTTAAACACCAAAAAAATAAGCCATATAGCACTTTGCCACCAGTGGAACATAGTACTCTAAACCATTTTAACACCCAGCTACTCGCTCTGACTCCATCTTATACAAGTGGGTGATGTGCATGGACTTTCCTAGGTGACGCGTTGCTTATTTTGAGAACGTCCTTCATGCTTCCCGCCATAACTTTGGGACTAACATGGCAGTCCCCATGGTATGGACGACCTGTACTTGTGAATGAGCAAACCTGGAAGTTCTGCCTCCAGGCGTCCACTTGCTGACCACTGCTCGCTGCTGGGCAAGCGACGAAGTCAGAACTCACACCAGGCGATGTGGAGAGGAAGGAAGGCGCAAGGAAGGGAAAAATAGGAAGGGGAGAAGGGAAGGACGGAAGGAAGGAGGAGGGGAAAGCTGCGCCAGGGAGCTGTGAAGTCAAAACCAGAAAGCGACTGCAGTGGTTCCTGCCCCGCCCCACGTGGCACAGTCAGACCCCGACTCTCCAGCAGCAGGTCCATCCCCTCCAGCACAAGTCCTGTCTCCATTATCATCCAGTTAATGTGAGGCTTAATGTAAGCTCCATAATTGTGAACCTTTAATAATCTTTTTTCTGTCATTCTATCTGAACAGTTTTAAGAACTGTACCATATACCTACACACATATATACAGATATTCTCTCTCTCCCTCTCCCCCACATAACAGTAGTTACTTTAATATTATAGTATTGTTATCATTATTAAAATGCAGTATTGTGTTTAAGATGTTTTAGCATACATGGAAGTGTTTCTTAAATGTTTTATATGCTTTTTATGTATGTGATCCGACTTACAAATTCAACTTAAGGACATTCTCAGGAACGAAACTCGTCCATCACCCGGGGACTATCTGTGTATGTAATCTCCCCATGATGCACTTTGGGATTCCTTCATGATTTGTCCAGGCATAACCATTTTAGCACTGAGCTGTGTGTGTGTGTGTGTGTGTGTGTGTGTGTGTACAGTGTGCTTTCAGAGCAAAATGTTTCTAAGCACATTACTTGCTTGACCTTTTGTGTGTGTCTCCCTTTTCTTCCTGAAAGGAGCTGATGGAACAGAATGACGCTCTAAAAGCTCAGCTCCAGAAATACCATTCACAGATGGCGGTCCAGGTATGGAAGCTTTGGAGTGGCTGTTGTCACTGCTTGTTGTCGTTTTGCAACTTCTGATCTGCTTGTGAGTTTAGCCGGTGAGTTCATAGAATCACAGAAAAGTAGATCGGAAGGGGCCAGAAGGCCATTGCGTCTGGCTTCCGCTCAGTGCAGGCCTCAAAGTCAGGAATCCCCGATGGATGGCTGCCAGTTGCATCTCGAATACTTCTAGTGTGGGAGAGCCCGCCACCTCCCTGAGTCATTGGTTCCCCTGCTGTACTGCTCTAACAGTCAGGAAACAGTCAGGAAACAGCCGGAATCTGGCTTCCTGTAACTTGAGCCTGTCATTCCATGTCCTGCACTTTGGGATGATCAAGAAGAGATCCTGGCAACATTTCAAGTCCTTGTAGAGCGCTAGCATATCTCCCCTCAGTTGTAAGCTGGATTGATTGGAAAGGGAGTAACCATTTTGGGAACATCACCAGTTCGCTGTGGCCAAGTGCAAGCATGATATTGGCTCCTTGCAAGCTGCAGTTTGCAAATCCAGAGCCAGCTCTGGGGACATGCACTCCCTGTTTCCTTCTCCAGGGCTGCATCTGTTCTGGGAGTAACCGTGACCTGCAAATCGGTCTCAGAGAGCAAATCCCTGTTGAGAAGGGTGTTCTAGTGGCTGAGCTTCCTTTTGAATAGAGACTCCCAGTCCACAGCTGTTTGTCTTCCAGGACTAGGGCTTGCCTGGCATGGCCCAGAAGAACCAAGAAGTTAGGAGAATGACATCCTTAGTAAAGGCCAAATGGGGGATGTAAAACACAATTTAGATGGAAGGCAGTTGTGTACAGGTGCAGAACAGAGGCTCAGTGGGCATCACAACTTGATTTGCACAACATGGCATCCACCAGTGGCTTGTCAACAGAAGCATTTTTTCCCTGCTTAGATGCAGAAAATAACCTGAGCCTGGGAGAAGAGTGTGTTTAGCGGAAGCATTGCTGCCTGGGGCCTTCATTTACTTACGCAAAGCCTTTTCACCAATGCCATGTCTGCTGTTATTCGTACACACGGGCAAACACGAACCCAGCTCATTTCAGATGAAAGTATGTTTAAGGCATAGGGGAAAGGGAGGGGAGAGTGTGCAGTGGGAGAGTGGGGAATGTGCATGAGTCTTCTCCATGTAAAGGCCACTCTGCAAAGGCAGAGATGGTAAGAAAAACAAAGGGACTAGAAACCGCATCTTAACCCTAAGCGCAAGTGAAGCAAGGTGGCAGCTTTCTGTGGGATGATCTTCCTTCAGCCATACAGGGCACGATCAACTCATGCCTGGCGGGCATCTCTAAGGACGCTGCTCACGTCAGATAACTTTTATGCTGTGCTCCGGTCATAGCAGCATTACAGTGGAGTTTCAAATTCACAAATGCCAGCGTGCCTCTGGGCACCTCTTTGCATGTGCAGCTAACCCAGCTGGGTGGTCCCTGATGAGTATGTGGGGAGGAGCCCCAAGATTGCTTTCATTCAGCCTGGCGCCCTTCAGCTGCCTTGGACTCCGACTTCCATAAACCCACAACCAGCCTAGCTTGTCAGTGCTGATCACCGCTTTGCCGGCTCCATCATCGCCTTTTCATGTAGAAATCTTAGGCTTATAGTATCTTAATGTTATTTTATGGAAAGCTGCCTCGAAGCTCTGTTGTCAGCCAGAAAGGCAGAATATAATTTTTAAAAAATAGAGTCAGTGCTGCCCTAATGAGCATCTGGGTCAACAGTTTCTAAAATGTTATTTAAGCAGTGTACAAACGCATGTAGCTGGTGTGTTCCACAGGCAGAGATAGGCAGGGCCCTGCTCTCTCTCGGCATGTACCATGAGAATCTGGAATAAGATGAGGTGAAGGCCCCAGGGAAAAGAGGGAATTTGAGGAAGAATGTAAAGGAAGGGCGAGTTGCAACACCTTGAAACCAAGGTTGCACCATGAACGTGGAAGCAGGACTTGGACTGCTGAGCAAGAATTCTGTTTCAAATGGGTTAAAACCTCGCCTTGGCGCCTTTCTCTGTTTATGAAATCCACAGCGTGCACTGATTTAAAACTCTCGTAACCGTGGCGGGGCCTCGCAAGGTGTTCGAAGAGAACGTGGGCAAAGCCACCCTTTTCAACTGCACCTTCTCTCTTTCAGAGCTCAGCATCAGCCCTTGCAGAAGAATTGCACAAAGTGTAAGTACACCTGCCCGAACTCCTCCTGGTTGCTCTCAAGTTCATTAGCTGCTTTATTGTGTAGGCCTTTTCATGTATGAGAGAGATTATCTTAAAGGAAATGTTGCAGTCGCCAATCCTTTTACCCTCTATTGTTATAGGTTCCCCTTAGAAGTCATAAGCATTTTCCTAAGGATTTCCCCTTCATGCTTAAAGTTGGCAGCGCTTGGGGAAAATGCTTGGTTGAGAGAATTGCTCGCTTGGAAAAACGCTTGCTTCCCCAAGGGTCACGACTCTTCCAGCTCCAGCAGCCTGCTCAAGAGAAGTGGGTCACCCTGATTGGCAGCTGCGACATGTGACACAAGGGTGTTCAATGACACGCGGGTCGCTTGTGAACCAGCCCTACGCACACCGGATGCAGGCCCACTCCCTTCGCTAGCAGTCCTTGCCAGGCTCGGTTTCTTCTGTGTGTGAACCTGCCCTGGATGGCGCACCAGAGGGTGGGTTCTGGGCGTGCGCTTGGCCTTGCTGGGTGTGCACACGGCCAGCGCACCCAGGAGTTATTATTATTAGAACATTTCTATGCCGCCCCTTGCCGAAGCCTCGGGGCGGCTTACAACACAATAAAATACAATACTATACAAAAATAACAATATAAAATTAAAATTAATAATATAAAATAAATAAAAAATATAAACGATATAAAAGAAGTTATAAAAGAAAAGAAAAGAAAAGAAGTCGCCCTGGCCAGATATATAAGTAAATATTGTTAACAATTAAAATGACGTTTAAATAAAAAGGTCTTCACCTGGCGCCGAAAAACAAATAACGATGGCGCCAGGCGGACCTCTTTGGGGAGTGAATTCCATAGGTTGGGCGCCACCACAGAGAAAGCCCTCCTCCGAGTACTCACACTCCTAATTTCTTTCACGGAGGGTTCCCGGAGAAGGGCCTCTCCCGCAGATCTCAAGGGGCGGTCGGGCATATATGGATGTAAGTTGTCGCTTTGCATGTGTGAACCCAGGCAGTGCATTGACTTGCTGCTTTTGAGCCTCACCAAGGCCCTGTTTTGGAAGGGCCGGGCACTCCCTCTTCTCCTGGGATCTGTCTCGGCCTCCCTCTGGTGGCCTGCCTGAGAATGGCTCCTGTCAGCCTGGAGGGGTTCCTCTCCCGCCTGCCACCATGCCTGCTTCTGATGTGCAAAATGTTGGGCATGGTGGTGGTGGGGGGGGGATTGTGCCCCCCAGATGGAGCAGGCCGTCCCTTTTTAAAAAGGCAGCTCCCTGGGCCGGCTGTGGATTCTGACACCAGCTGCTGCTGGCTTGCAGGTGCAGCTTGGCAGGTGCTTTATGTGGGGCTGGGCCAGTCAGCAAGATGAGCCCTTTAACCTGTCGGAGCTGTGGCGGGAGACCCCACTTGCCTTTTAAGTGACAAATGAATTTTCTCTGTTTTTTTAATGATAGAATTGCAGAAAAAGATAAACAGATAAACCAAGCTGAGGAGTCCTTGGCCAATGAACGCCTTAAGCTAACGAGCAAGGAAGAGGATTTCATGGTACAGTAAAAGCTCAAGCATTATCTATAAATAGGTGGGGAAAGTTAATTGCCAAAGCTTTGATCCTGATGGGTGGACCTGGCCTGGGAGTTTCAATTCTGTCTGTGAGATTCAGTCCATGGGGGCATGTGCTGCATTGGCCACCTCACGCGGATGTTCTTGTGGGTCCCGTTCCGTATGAGCAAGAGTTGGGCCTGCCACTTAGAAACATAGAACCAGAGCGAGTCAGGAGGGGCCTCCCGGGCCATCTAGTCTGACCTCTGGCACCAGCCGGCTCCGCTCACGACGTGCCCACTGCTCCGCTCACGACACGCGCGCTGCTTCTTCCCTGCCGATCTGCAGCGCTGCCGTGGCTGACTTGAGGCGGGGGCGTGGCTTTCCTCTCCCCCGCTGCCTGCCCCCGTGCATGCTGCGGGCCTCAGCAAGGGGGTCGTAGCCAGGAGAGATCCTCCTTGCCCCTCGCTGGTTCTGCCCCGGCTCCAGGCCTCCTTGGCCGAGAGCGGGGAGAGCCTTTGCACGCACAGCGGGACTTGTCATGAGGAGGAGGAAAGAGCCATCCTGAGGCAGCTCCGGGCAGCTGATTTGGCCCAGCCGTTAGCGGTTCCACTGAGGCCGGACTGCCTCCCACCCTGAAGCACAAGAGCCAAACGAGCCTGGGCAGACGGCAGCAGGCGCGGCCCTTGGCACCCCAGAGCAGCCTTTGCCAGGCTGGCGCCTCCAGATGTGCTGGACTGCATCTGCCACACACCTAGAGGACGCCAGGTGAGGGAAGGCCGCTCCGGGCGGCACTGCTCGTTAGCGGCCTGCTGGTTTGCAAGGTGGACAGAGTGTCCTACAGGCACCAAAGCCAGTGTAGCCAAGCAGGGCGTGTGTGATTCAACAGCAACCACAGTGACCCGAACGTCCCAAAAGAAGCTCCTTCTCAAGGAGATCTCTGCATTCGCGACAAACCCTGAACGCACTTTGTCCCAGCCCTCTTTGCCCCCTCTCTGGGTCTGACCCACACATGCAGCAGGAGGAAGCTACAAAACCCGGCAGGAGTCAGTGCCCCACTCCAGGCGGAGAGGCTGTTTTCAAATGCCCCACCCACCGTGGGATTTGGCAAAACAGAAGGCTGCTCGCAAGTGTAAAGCGAGGAAATGGGTCCCTCTCCATCCCCCCCGCAGATAAGTTAGAGAGCGGGTGCAGCTTCAGCTGAGCCTGTTCTCTGACACGCCAGTTTCCCGCTTGTAGCAGGTGCTGAGCCAGGGCCTGGTTTTCCCAGTGCAGGGGAGTGGCAGCCCGAAGAGGCAGAACCCCTTCCCCTTTCTGCTGCATTGTAGAGTGGGTCTCAGCATGGGCAGAATGGTTCACAGCACCCCCATTGGAAATGGCCCATACGGCCTGCAGCACCGCTTTCCATATTTATCTAGTTTTCTGTCCCGCATCCCTCATGTTGCCTTTCGCTTGGGAAAACATCAAAACTGAAGACGGCCCAGTTGGTCATGGCCGTCAGGGGAGCATGGGAGAACTCAGAGCTACCCTTGCTCGACTTTTTTCCCTTCTTCAGGTGGTGCAGAACATTAACATGTCCCTGAAAGCAGAAGTGCAGAAGTTGCAGGCGCTGATGAGCGAGCAGGTAAATGACTTGCCCAGGTCAGGTGCCGTGCCCAGCCGTTCCCGTAGCCACACCGGATATTGCTGGCTCCTGTCTGGTGAGAGGGCCTTTTGCAAGCGCAAGCGAATCTGGGCTGTGTGCCTCCGGTGAAGATTGCCAGCAGTTCTTGAAGTCCTGCCACGTGCTCAGCGGGAGTGCAGCGTTGAAAGGGTTTGGTGCTTGTCTGCTATTCTTTGCACAGAAGTTACTTTGGAAAAAGAGCTGTGTGGCTCCAGGCTTTGCTTCATCCTGGAAGCCCCTTTTTCTCTAACTGCAGAAGAGTGAGGTGGGCTTGGGTGAAGACAGTAGCTGGTGATACAGAGGTACTTGGTATTTACTGCTTGTAACCTGCCCAGAGAGCTTCAGCAGTGGGGAGGTAGAGAAACCAAATAAACAAACGTGAGGGTGCTCTCTTCCTGCGCTGAGCAGGGGGTTGGACGCTCTGGCCCCTTCCAGGTCTACTCTTCTGTGATTCATAGAGACAAAGTGAGTCAGAAGGGGCCTCCTGGACCATCTAGTCTGACTGTTGGCTCTGCTCATGTAATCCCCGACATGGGGTTCTCCATCTTTCCTTGAACACCCTCTCTGCTGGGGCCTCCATCACCTCCCTTGGAAGCCCATTCCATATCCTAGGGGTTCGAACCACCAGGAAGTACTTTCTGACATTCAGCCTGAAGCCTGGTTCCTGGAGCTTTGCTGGAAAGAACAGCTCACGGCCCTCCTCCACATGACATCCCCTCCCCGTTCTTTGATTCTTCCTTAGTAAATCATGTCTCACAGCAGAGCTCAAATTTTGCTCTACTCTTTTAGTCCAGGCCCTCATTTAAACATCCCTTGAGTGCAGCCTTAGTTCGTACTTCCCAGGTTCTGCATGCAGTTCATCTAACCCTCTTCTGAAACATGCCACTTCGGATGGCGTGGGGAACTCTTAATTGAAGCATGTAAAGCGATTCCCCCAGCCAGGTCCCCTGCAGATTTACTGGACTCTTAAGTCCCATCATCCCTAGCCAGCATGGCGTCGCATCAGGGGAAGCACCATGCACTGGGGAAGGCTGCTTTAGATAAAGGTTGCAGTGCACGGACTTGGCTTCAGCTGGGTAAGGAATGGGAAAGTGGAGCAGGCTGCTTGACACCTCCTCTGCTCTGACGTGGAGTACATTGTCTTCGAGCCCCTCACTGTTTCCCACCCTAAGAGGCAAGCAGCGTTTAGAGCATCTTCGTGCCTTTGGCTGTCCTTGTGGTCCCTGCAGGAAAAGTTCAGCACTGAAGTGGCAAGGGCACACCAGCCTTCCCCAACCTGGTGCCACCCTCTTATGTTGGACTACAAGTTCCATCATTGCTCCAGCCGGCAATGGCCACTCTGGAAGACTCCAGAGCAGGGAAGATGCCTAAAGGACGCGCGTCGGTGGTTCATACGCCTCACAGAGTTGCTGGCAACCTCAGTGTAACTGCAGCAACTGCAGCTGCTTCCAAAAAAGTGGCACCACTTAAGGCACTGAGGAATTAAGTGCTTATGGGTGACCCCTTTCACTGCAGGCAGATGCTCCACTGTAGGTCACTTTTCTCTGAATGCGCCTCTGCCTTAAGGGGAAAATCCTCCTTTTTCCAAGTCCTTTAAATGGCATTAAGGTAATGGAATTGCTGCCCCACCAACCCCAGGCTGGCTTTGTGCCAGTTGGCATAGAGGGCACCCCCCCGCCCTCTTTCCTGCAACTGGCTCTCGTGGCACATGCTCTCAGAGCCTTCACTGAGTCAGGTGCATCATTACCCAGGCAGGGCAAGGCAGCCCCGAGCATTTCCACTTTCTGGGCCATCGCCTAAAATAAAAAGTTTTCCTTTCTAGATCTGACCTCTCTGAAAGAGCGGCCACAGTCTTTTGATCAAAGGCTGAGCACATGGACTTCCCTTTTGCAGAGGCAGGCTCTCTGCGCGTCGCCCCTCGGCTTGTTGAAGAGGGGGGTGGGGGCGAGGCTCAATTTCATGGGTTTGCAATGTGGGATGTGGTTGTTTTTTCCTGAATCTTGCCTTGATGTGATATATTAAATAGTGCTAATCCTCTTTACGTCTAGGCTGCAGCTGCACATGAACTAGAGCGGATGCAGAAAAGGTAAAGAAAGACAGAATGGCATTTGAGGAATTGTTCTTGTGTTGTATGTGTGTGTGTGGGGGGTGTCTGCTACAAGGGCTTGTGTGAGGAAGGGGAAAACACTCACCCCCTTTTCTGTTCGCCTCCTTCTTCAGCACTCATGTCAAAGAGGACAAAATCAGAGCTTTGGAGGAGGAGCTGCAGGGACAACACGCCAACGCTTCAAATGCAAAGGAGGAACTTCAGGTACTGCAAGGGACAGATTGAAACCCCCTGGAAGTGGGATGGGGGCAGGATCGTCGTGCGATGCTCTGTCCGGTCCCAAATCACCCTGGAGAATTTATTTATTTATTTATTTATTTAGAAAATTTCTATGCCGCCCCATTCGCCGAAGCCTTGGGGCGGCTCACAAAGATATCAATTAAAATATAATACAGTAAAATATAAAACAAGTTAACAATATAAAATAAAATAAGTCGCATGGACTGTGTGGTGGGCAGCAGGTTGGGGAGGAAGAATGCTGCTGATGAGCAGTAGTAAGGTAGGCGACGTATCAGGCGAAAATCCTGTCTGGGTGTGCAGTGAGAGCGTTGCTGGGGCAGAAGAGCATCTGTGCCGAGATCGCGCGGTGTAGAAATGCCATAAATAATAACCCCCCCTCCACTTTGTGCAGATAACCAGGGGTATGCAGCCAGTTTTTATTTTAAAATAACTTGAGAAAGTTCAGGAGACTTCGGGCCAAACCACATGATAGAGTCGTATTTTTGTAAGTGCGGAAACTAGTAGCTTACATAAAGAAACAGCAAGAGCGATGTCTGAGCATGGAATGGCAGGTTGACCTGTGTGGTCTGGTGATTTCATTCCAGATCCTAAAGGAGCTGAACCAGACTTTGCAGTTGGAGATTCAGAAGCTGCAGGCTGCCTTATCCGAGCAGGTACAACGGATCTTTGCTGCTTGTTCCTTTGTTTCTTACATTTATATCCTGCCTTTTTTTCATTCCAAGGAACTGAAGGTGGCTTACATTTTTCCCTCCTCCTCTTGCTCACAACAACGACATCCCTGTGAGGTCGTTTGGGCTGAGCATCAGGGACTGTGCCACAGTCACGCAGTGAGTCCTGGTGGAGTGGAGACTAGGACCCAGATCGCCTGAGTCCCAGACTTGCCCCCTTAACCACTACACCGCACTCTCACTCTTGTTCAACGAGTGTACGTGTAGGTGTACCTGACAACAGGGAATGAGAGCAACCAGCTGGACCTTGAAAGGATTCTCAGCCTGTAAGTTCTGTTTGCTGCTAAGACTGCACTACGAACAGTGCACTGAGAGAGAGTGTGGTCTAGTGGTAAGGTGTGCTGGGCTGGGGAACTGGGAGATTTAGGTTCTAGTCCCTACTCCACCCTGGAGCCCACTGGGTGTCTTTGGGCCAGTCACCGACGCTCAGCCCAACCCACCTCACAGGATGGTTGTGAGGAAGAGGAGAATTATGTAAGCCGCCTTGAGTTCCTTGGAAGGAAGAAAGGCAGGCTATACATTAAATACATAAATACATTTCCAGGCGAGGCATTCTTTATCCAGGCCTCTGGCCTGCAGGCATGCACAGCTCCACCCTGAGAGATGGGGTGCTTCCAGACGAGACTTCTCACACAATTGCCCTGCCTTCTTTACATCATTTTTCAGGGGGTCCAGCCACTGTTATTTCCTCCCATGATTTCCCACCACTTTTTTTTCTTCTTTCCATAAGAAAATCTGAAGGATTAAAGGGTGGAATAGCTGCATAGCTGCCCTTTGAATCAGCAGTGCTAGGAGTGCCTCCAAGGACCACTGGCATGTAGAAGTCCAAAATCATGTGTAAAGAACTAGAATTCTGCAGCTGTCTTCACTAATGCACTCTACCTGATGAGTTAAGATTGCTCAGGTCCCCCGAGTTACAGGGTACTGGAAGGGACCTTCTCAAAGTGGCACTTGAAAAAGCAAAACAAGAATTTCTCACCACAATTTTCTTTTGTGGGAGAGGAAAGGGTTCAGGTGCTTGAACAGCTGGTGGTTCATTTTCAGTGATATATAAAAGCTTATGCTTGCGCTTGCCATCTGCCTTTGCAACCAGGATCAGTTTTGCTGCATGAAATTTAGAATAGTCTGGTAACTCTGCAGAATTTTGAGAATTCCACTCCTTAGCACGAAACAGGCTTGTGGTCCTCCCAGATAGAAAGTGCACAACTGGACGAGTTCCATTGATCAACACTTCTTGTTGCTTTAACATGGCAGAGTGTTGTCTTTTTACCCTCCCTATAAAACTAGGGTAGGAAGGTGGTCAAATAGTCTCCAATGAAATCTGGAATCACAAGTGCCAGTTTTTGGAGAAAAGCCAGGATGCAAATCCAAGTGTCACAAAAACAAGTGCGTTCAAAGAGTTTCGCATGTGCAGGTGGTGTGAGGAACTGCTTCCTCAACACAGTGGTGAAAACTAGCCGCTGCTTGTGTTCAGGATAGAGCTTTGCTGGGAGAGCTGCAGAGCATAGCAGGACTGGCTAACAGTCCCTTGCCCGGCGAGCCCAGCCTTACCTTTGCCTCACTCGTGGGAAAAGTCTGTGGTTCATGCTGGATGCCTGAGAACAGAGACAGCCCTCTTGGGCTGCAGACTTCCTGCACAGTCCAGATGGCAGCAGGGTATTAGCCCCACTAAGCTTGTGCTCCCTGACCCAGAAACAGTTGTTTTGGGGGCCGTGAGGGGCTAGAAATGCAGCCTCCATCTTGCATCATGGTGGCCTCGCAGGAGCAGCTGTTGCTTTTGCTCCTTCTGCTGCCCCGGCTTCTTCTCTAGCCACCTAAGTTAACAGTCTACTGTATGTACAGGGTTGAGGATGTTGGACAAACCCACAACAGGTTCCAATGAGGTTGGATTTCTGTGAATCCAGTCTGTGCATTCTGCAACAGGCCAGCTTTGCACAAACTGTGTAGCTACCATGGACTCACAAAATTTTTAGAAAGGGTCCAGAGGAGGGCAGCAAAAATGATCCAGGGTTTGGAAACACTGTCCTATGAGGAGAGACTGAGAGGACTGGGCATGTTTAGCCTTGAGAAGAGAAGACTGAGGGGGGGGGGGACATGATAGCCTTTATAAGCACCTCAAAGGCTGTCACAAAGAGGAAGGTCAAGATCTCTTGTGGATACTAGAATCTAGGATACAGAATAATCATCTCACGTTCCGACAGCCCAGATTCAGGCTGGACATCAGGAAAAGTTTCCTCACTGTCAGAGCAATACGACAGTGGTACCAGCTGCCTGGAGAGGTGGGGGGTGCTCCCACGCTGGAGACAGTCAAGGTGAAACTGGACAGCCATCTGAATGGGATGTTTAACTTGGTGTCCTGCAAAAGCAGGGGGTCAGACTTGATGGCCTTCATAGCCCCTTCCAACTCTACTGTTCTATGATTTTATGAATTCTGCCAGGTGCTGCTGAAAATGCACAATTCCCCTGTAGACTAAAGTTTAAGGATGCATTATTTGGAGGGAGATTGGTGCATTTTTGGAAGTACGAATCTGTGCATATGCATGCAAGCATTTCTGCCCATTTCATCCTGTCAGTGAGCAGAGGATGGGGCAAAGACACCTGACAGTCATTGAAATGCAGACAAAAGGAATTTAACGGAGTCTGTATGTATCTGTCTCTCTAACTCATAGAATCATAGATGCATTTGCCATATTGAGAACTTTGTCTTCAAGGTGCTGCATAGCATGTTGCTGAGGTTTTTCTTGCTGTAGACAGACAGGTCTCATCCTGTGCAGAAACTGCAACTCTGAAGTTGCGCCAGAGGCAAAGGTCGTGCTTGGGGGTGTAAGGAGCAGTGCTGTTGTGCAGCCAACCAATTCCTTCAGGGCAGGGGTGCTGAAGTTCAGGCCCTTGGGCCTATCTATCCCGACGGGGGTTCAGACCAGTTCTCTGGGGCTCGTCAGAGGCCTATGTCCCTTTCTCCCAGCCGCCGATCCTTTGGTGGTTTCTTGGACTCTGTGCAGGTTTTTTCCTTCCTTTTGGAAAGGTTGAAATGCCTCATTTAGGACTTTGTTACTGTCAGTAAGAGCTTATAGCGAAAGTAAACTGGTACTGGGGGGGTGTATTTTGGGCCCCGCCCCTTAAATCTTCTCCCTTTGCTTTTGGCTTCACCCATCACTGGAATTTAGCCCTTGGGGGTATCTCCAAAATCGGACTTCGTCTTGGGCCAGAAGACGCTCTCCATTTCTGATCTAGGCCGTATCACAGAACCTGTCAGTTGCAGATGGGGGCATTCCCAGCCCCGCTCTTCAGGGGGCTTTAGTGGAAGCGAGAAGGATGGCCTCTCGCACCCCCCGTGAAACGGAAGAGCAGGGCGGTGTTGGTTTGGCCGTGTTAAAGTTCACCGCAGTGGCAGAAGAGGAGTGCTGCAGTTTTCGACGGGATTACTAAGGCTCCAGAGGTTGCTGGGCTGCAGATGGTTGGGAGGGTGGCAGGTCTTGGGCACTGGAACGGCACACTGGCACAGGGGTTGTCGCCATCGCCCCCATCGATGCTCGAAGGGGGATGCCACTTGGATTTTCGGCTTCAGACAATAAAACCCCTGGTGCTGATGCAGATGAGCAACGCAAGTGCAAGCAGCTGGCCCCTGAACAGTGGTGACCATTGTCTGAAGTTACAAACCATCTCTCTCTCCTCCCCCCTCCCTCTCCCCCCCACCCCCTGCCTTTTAGGCTAATAAGGAATTATTGGAGCAGTTGGAAAGAAGGTAAGTGGATGGCCTGTCAGTCCAAGTTTTTTCCTGTCACTCCGCGTGATGGTGATGGTGGTGGTGGTGATTGGGGCGGGGGGGGGGCGTGAGGGGCGCAGCCAGAGCATGTGGTTGCCATGGAGAAGGTGCCAGATCGCCTCTCCTGCATCTCCAAGGGAAGCAGGGGCGTTGGACGTCAGGGTGTGGGCCTTGCAAAGCCGGCCCACCTGGAGTCCCAGTCCAGCCGTCCTGGCTCTCCTGCTGCCAGGCCAAGTGCTGGTTTCCCAGCCCATTTTCAATGTCTTCCCCCCACCGTGAAAGGGTGAAATGCCTCTCCCAGGGCTTTGTTCCTTGCAGGAGAGAGCTTTAAGCCGGAGCAGTCAGTCTGTTGGCCCCACCCCTTTTGCCCTTGGCCCCTCCCTCACTGGAATGTGCCCCCCCCCCCCCGGGATCTTCCCCAAAATGGCATTTGTTCCCTGGGCTGAAAGAGGTTCTGCACTCCTCCGTTGAATGATCTGCGGATGCTGGGCTAGGCAAGCCTCCATTGCCCTCAGTCCCAATGTGGGCATCCAACCTTGGGCCAGACAAAGGCACGGTCTGGCTTTGTTTAAAGCAACATCAGCCAGTGTGGTGTGGTGGTGAAGAGCATGGGCCTGGGACTCAGGTGATCCGGGTTCTAGTCCCCACTCAGCCACGGAGCCAACTGGGTGACTTTGGGCCAGTCACAGACTCTCAGCCCAGCCTACCTCACAGGGTTGTTGTGGGAATAAGAGGGAGGAGGAGAATGATGTAAGCTGCCTTGAGCCCTTTGTAGGGAAAAGGCAGGATATAAATCAAAAAACAAACAAACATAGGCTCTGTGCAAGTTTACTCATCAGTACGTACAAGCAAGTTCAGTAAGTGTACATAGGGTTACCATAGCCCTGCCTTACCTTGAGATGAATTTCCTGTCATCATTTCCTCTCTCTCTCAAGTATTACGGAAAAGGACGACAAGATAAAGACGGTGGAAGAACTCCTCGAGGCTGGACTCATAGAAATGGCCAATAAGGAGGAGGAGCTAAAGGTAGAACCTGCATGAGAATCACATGTCCCTTTTGGCCTGGAATTGGATAATACTTCATTGCATCCCACCTGTACCCCCGCCCCCAATTAGTTACAGGTCTTGGTCACAACACCAAAAGCCCCTGTGCTTTTCTTTAGCTCCTCTTCACTGTCTCTGGAAATCAGTGGCTTAATGCCTGTGCCACAATGGGCAGCGAAAGTCTGGGAAAGGGAGAGGAGCCTTCAGGAAGCATCAGGAATGCCGTGCTCTTTAGACCTCAGCCAGGCAGCTCCACCTTTGCCTCATTTGGCCACGTTCAATCAAACTGCGCCTGTTGCAGGCCGGAGTCCAAGATGAGTAAACCAAACGCCTACGGCTGCTTTGCCCTGAGAAGTTGGAATTGTGGGTGAAGGGGCAGCCACCGCCTTCCTTCCTGGGAAGAGTCACTAGCATACAGAATACAAACACAAACTTGCTAGGAAGGGCTCTGTGAATTGTGTAGGCTGCACACAGGTGTGGGTACTGCTCCCTGCTGTTGCTTGGACGGGACACCACAGTTGTAAACATGCAGGAGCCCTTCGTAATCCAGTGCAGTCTTGATGTGTTTCACATTGGAGTATCTGTCCTGCGTGGGAGCTCAGGGAAAGATTGTGAAACATATTTAAACCCATTTTCAAAGCTGTTCTATCGTTCAACAAAGTATTACCCTTGGTAAATCTACTCAAAGATCACCCTTGAATTAGCATCAGTAAGTATCTGTTGCCGCTCTTCAATTGTGAAAATGTGTTCTTCTTAAAGGGACTGAGAACAGAGAACATGTCCTTGAAAAGTGAAGTGGAAAAGCTGCAGAGAGTTCAAACGGAACAGGTATGCCATCAGCTTAGACAATTCCAGTGTCTGAAGAATGGTCTTTTGGATGTCCATTGCTCCTCCTAAACATCTCTAGGAGGATCGAAGCATTAATGATTTAAATTTATAGTCAACCTTCCCTCCAAAAATGGTGCTCAGCTTTAGCTTTCCAGGTTATCCTATTACCGTTGTATTTGGAAACGGTTTCTGTCATGGAGATATGATGAGCAGTGCCACTTTCGCTGGTGTCTCACCCCAACACCATAAATTACCGCTTGCGGAAATGGAGCTGCGGACGCTGCCCTGGCACCGACTCAGCGATCCCATGGTCCATCCAGCACTGCCCACCCTGAGCGGGAGCCAGGGATCTCTGGGCTCGGCGAGGAGCTTTTCCTGCCCTTCCTGGAGACTCCGGGATGGAACAGGGGGCCTTCCGCATTCAGCCTCTCGTGCTGCACGTGAGCAGAGGCGTCTTACTAGGAGGGGCGTGGAGACAATTGCAGCAGCGCCTCATCCCACAGTCAGGAGGAATGGCATGTGAGCAGTTGTCTAGGCCGACAACCGGCTGCAGTCACTTCTGCACCCACTCCTTTGTGTGACTGCCGCACGGTGCCAACATCCCTGCCACTTCATGTGATCTAAACATACAGTTGACAAGCGTGCCAGTCTGTGGACGCTCCTTCCATCAGCAGGGCTAGTGAGAGTTGATGCCTTCCCTGCCAGATTCCTTGCACACCTCTCGCCCCCCCCATCCTTTGGAGCCCACCCTGTCGCCACGGCTCCAGCCAGCTGAGCGAGCCACCAGCCGTGTCACTAAGGGCATTGGCGCTGGCCTGGGCTGCTGTAGCACAAGATGAAGACTCAAGATCAGTGAGCCGGCTTCGTAAATCCTAAAATCGGGCTTGGGCAGCATCCAGGGGCATGTTGCCCCACCCCCACCCTGAATTTCCTGCTGAAAGTCGGGGGCGTGGGGGCCAGAAAAGGGCCAGTTGTGCATTTCAGCAAGGTGCAAAGGGAGCTCGCACCTGGCTTGCCAGACTTCGTACACACCTTGCTTTGAAGCAAGGCAGCCCTTTTTTGCCTCCGCCCAGCAAATTCAGCAGCAGATCGCTGGGCCCACACAAAAGGCCGGGGGAGCACGTGGTCTCTGAAAGGGGCAAAAATACTATCTGCCTCAGCCGTGCCTCATGGTTTCTGTGCATTCAGCAGCTGTGATTATGAGATTTGTCCCTGTGCGATTCTCCTGCCAGAATCTTTTCAGGCCGTTAAAAGACAGGACACTGCAAGCAGAGACAGGGTGTGAGGTGTGCTGGCTGAGGCAGTGTCTGGATAAAAAAGTCACATGAGCTGAGTGAGTGCAAACCTCCAGGGTTACTGGGCACTCTGGTTTATCAGAGGACTTGTACTCGGCTCCAAGCAAGGTTCCTGGTCGGCCCTCTGAGGGGGAGCTGATGCCATCTGCCGGGAAGGGCATCTTTCTGCAGTGCGACAGCGCTCCAGCCTTCCCTGATCTGCTCTCTGTATGCACAGGAGCTCCCAGAGACACAGGACAGGAAAGAGTGGGCTCTCGCCACACAGGAGCTCACTGTGCATCCTTCACACAGCTGTCCACATCTGCCTGCAATACAGTGAGGGCAGCCATATTCCATATTCTCCTTATTTTATTCTTAGAGTTAAATCACACTAAGCATCAAGTGACACATTCATCCGTTGCTGTTCAGTCTGATCTCAAAATAGGATTTTCTCATCAGCAGCGCCACCAAGAATCAGGGCCACATGTGCTAGGTCCAGGGTTTTGTCCAAAACATTTAATAATCTGGGGAGGAGTGGGTTGTGGGGAAGGAAAGGTTGGACCTGCAAGACGTTTATAAGCCATTGTGTCTGTGAGAGGAGAAGAGTTAAGAAAGCAATTTTTTGCGGTGGCTATTGAAGCATCCGCTTAACGTGCCTTCCCCAAGCGGATAAGTTCCATACATGTTGAATGACAAGTCCGATCATGCACACTTGCCAGCATAAGGGATGATGGGGGCTGTAGTCTAACGTACCATGGGGGTGTCAGGTTGATCCGGACTGACTTCAGCCTTTCCATCTGAACGCCTGTGTTCTTTTGCTTCTGTTCCCTGGCCTCAATCCAGGATTCCTTCGCATCCTCGGTGGAAGATTTACAGAAATTGTAAGTAGCACCAGGATTCCTATTATTCTGTTTTAGAGTGCTCTTTGTTTTTATATTTTTGTTATTCTTGACATCTGGGTAGGCTGCTGTTGCATTACAGAAATGCCCAGAATTTGGAATGTGTCGCGTGGGGTGGGATGTTGGAAGCTGCTACATTTGGTGTATTTAAGTGTTAGGGAAAAGCCACTGTTGCAACGTTAAAAAAAAAATTCTCCATGACTGAGAAGGTCTGAAACTTGAACACCCTTTAAAAAAATGAAGGTTTTGTCTAGAGGCCTGTGTTCCCCTTTCCCTGCCTCACAGCCCCCAAATCTTCATTTCCGGCCTTCTCTGGCATCCGGCTTCATTGTTGTATGTGGCCGCCGTAGCATTTTGATCCAAGGTGGCGATCTGCAGGGCAGCTGTTTTTGCGTAACAAAATACTGTCGTTGTGCCCAGAAAACTGGTCTTTTAAAATGACTATGACCAAACCTCCCTCAACCATGGTCAGGTTATTTTATCAATCACCATCTGGCTATTCCATTTTGCAAATGGGTTGTAGGTGTGGATGCTGCTTCCACAACTGAGGCCTTTCACTTCCTTGTTACCATCCAGTGGTCCAAACAATAGGGTTCTCTCCTCTCAGTCAAAAAGGGACAGGCATTTTTGGAAGAGAGTTTTCTTCTTTGTCCAGGAGAAGTCCTCCTTTTAGAAGGTAGGCTGCTGCTTAGTTTTTCACCTGTCATTTGGAGATACCTTTCAAATAGCTTCACCTACTCCTGTGTTCTTCTAGCATTTCATACAATGTACATTTCAGATTATGCTGATACACACAGTATGAAGTGTGATTGCTTACAAGGGGTTCAGGACTATGGGGTTTACTTTCTAGAGTTCCAGTGACTTGGGTGTAAAGAGCTACACAGGCATTGGTTTAGCATCACAAGATCAAGCATTCCCTTTTCCCCATCTTCTCATTGTTCTGTGTGTCAGTGAGGAGATCAAAAGCTTCCATTCTGTTCTAGATGAGCTCCTTATGTTGCTTGAGCTGTAATATTAATCTTAACCATGGTTCACAAAAACAAACCAGTCTTCTAAAAATCCATCTTGCAGTTGCTGTTTTCCCGGTAAGCATAGTTAAGGTTAACCACAGTTTATCTGGGCTCAGTGATATCACAAGTTACACTTTGTCCAAAGAGAAAGTGAACATTTCTGCCCATTCCTCATGGAGAACTAAGGGGAGCTTACAAGCCTGGGCAGAGGCTGGGTCTGTTCTCATCATTCCACTTGACCCCTTAGCATCGTAGGACCCCGGCCAGCTGCCAATACAAAAGGGAGAAAGTGGAGATGCAGAAGAAAGAAATGGTTGTCAAACGGAAAGGTGTATCCCTGTGCAGCATAATACTGTATGGCAGCCTTGCCCAGCCTGGTGGCCAATGGATGTGTTAGGGTGCAATTCCCATCATTCCCAGCCAGCATTGCATTAGGGATGATGGGAACAGCACAAACATGGGAGTTGCTTGCCTGGAGGGCACCTGAGTGGAGGAGGCTGCAGTGCTGTGGGTGGGACATGGCTTGCCATGGGGGCTTTTCCCGAAGCAGAGTGTTCTTTAACAGCATAGCCCCTTGACATATGTCGAGCCTGGGAAATTTTGCAGTTGCTACCCAGCCGCTTCTCATGTGAGTCAGCGCACCCATTCTTAGGCAGAACGAGGATCGCTAGAGGTGAGATGCCCTGTGGGTTGCTTCAGGCATTGAGTAGTCTTCCTTGCCTCTCTGAACCACCTCCCAGCTAAGCTCCAGAAACCCTCCTTCCACGCCGCCCTGTGCAGCTCCCTCCTCCGATCTGACGCCTGTGCATTAAAGACCATGTCTGTGCCAGCGCTGTCTCCTTAGTACTTGCTCTGTTGCTTTCCTCCCTAAAGGATCAGCGAAAAGGATGGAAAAATCAAGTCTGTGGAAGAGCTGCTCCAGGCTGAAGTCCTTAAAGTTGCTACCAAGGAAAAAGCTGTCATGGTATGTGATGGATCTGCCACACTGCCCCTTTCGCCCCTTTCCCTTTCTCTCTCCCTGCCATCAACTTGCATGAGTTTGCCCTTCACATTGCATTTTTAGTAGTAATCAATTGTTTTGCGTCTGATCTTTCCATTTTCTGTGACGTTTTGTCTCCATTGTCCAATCTTGTCTTGTTTTGTCATTGAAAAGGCTTTGACACAGGAAATAGAGGCTCTGAAAGAAGAAGTAGGAAAGGCCCACCTTGAGAAGGACGCACAGGTAAAGTGGCTCTGAGCCAGCCGCTGGCAGGAGTCTGGCCACGAGCCCTTCCTTTTGCAGCGTTTCTCCCAGCAGCCTGCTGCTTCTCCCACATCCGCCTGGGGACCCTTGGTGGGAGAGGCACAGGTTTTTCCGCGCATTGAGGCTGAGCCAGGCACTAAATAATAATGAATGTTGTAAGCCAGCAGATCTGCTCGATCAATTGAAAGCACGTTCCTTGAGTGAAAAGGGTGCCCTGAACGAATGGATCAGCAGACTTTAAATTCCTTTAAACTTTAAAGTTTAAATCGTGTGTAGTACATGCAGGAATTGTGGGGGGCGACGTCTGCCTTTGGGGAGGCATGCCTGCGTGTGTGGGGAGGGAAGCCTCTTCTAAGGCGTTGCCTGCTGCGGCACGTGGGTGTGCCACAAAAGAGCCAGGTGGCCTGGTGGTCAGAGCGCAGGACTGGGTCTTGGGGGGTCCAGGGTCTGCTCCCCGTGTGGCCATAATGCCCACTGAGCGACTTTGGGCCGGTCACTTACTCTCAGCCCAACAACACACAGGGTTGTTGTGTGGATAAAATGGAGAAGAGAAGCTAGAGGATTACGCAGGCAGCTTTGAGTTCCTCGAAGGATTAAGCTGAGCTATGCATATAATACATTAAGTGAATACATGCCGAAACAAACTCTCTTCCTCCTATATACACATTTAAATGGGAGACGCAGTCCTACAAGCTTCGTGGCACAATCCTGTGCCAGATGAGGTAGGAAAATGGGGCATGCTGGGAAATGGGAGCTCTTTTTCTACCTGAACGGGTACGACCCGCGCCTGACATTCGCTTGTGTGGGACAGTCCACCCGTGGCCTGCAGCAGCATCTCCCCTGGTCGTTGTAGCAGATCTTTACCTCTGCTCACTTCTGACAGGAATTCCTCAAGCGAGCAGCAACACAGATTCTGGCTTGGGAGGAGAAAATATTGCAACCTCAGCTTGTTCGAAAGTCATAATGCTAATGATAAACACACGTGTGCATGTATGCATTTATTCCCTGGAGACAGTCTATGAAAGCATCAAAACATCCAGAGTTGAGCTGGATCAGCACAGCAGTCAGTCTAACCCCGTGCTATGGAATGCGCTCCCCAGAGAGGTCTGCCTGGCGCCATCGTTATTTGTTTTTCGGTGCCAGGCTAAGACCTTTTTATTTCAACAGTGTTTTAATAACTTTTAACATCTGCTATATAGGTTTTAATCTGCAGCCAGGGTGGATCTGGATTTTACTTGTATTACGTTTTATTTTATTTTTCTTATTTATATAAGCCGTCCTGAGTCTATGCGATGGGACGGCATACACATACTCTGAATGAATGAATGAATGAATGAATAAATGAACGAACGTTCAGCTGCCCACAAGCTGGGCATGAGTGCCGCAGAACGCTTCTTCCCATGCTCCCCGCCAGCTGACACAGACAGGCATTCTGTCTCTGCTCTGTGGGGCCGCGTCAGGACTAGTAGCCATGAATAGCCTTCTCCTCCCATAATTTGTCTAACTTCATCTTAAAGTCATCCACATTGGTGGCCATCACTGCTTCTTGTGTCAGTGAATTCCATAGCTTCACCGTGAACCGTGTCAACACTTCACTTATATCAACCTCCATAAGATGCATTAAAATTAATGGAATTCTGTCTTCAAATATCTGTAAAGCCTCTGCTTAAAAAGCAGTAGGCCAGAATCATCACAAAAATCGACTTGAGATGGTTGGGGGCATTTTCCAAACAAGCAACACCAGAAAATAGTTTTGGAAGTGCCACATGATTGAGTCCAGGTGCCCCCAAACATAGTGGGAGTGATTTCTGAGTAAACCTGAATGGGATCAGGGCAAAAGATTCTAACACTTTTAAAATTTGGAGTAAAGGAATTATTTAAATTCATGCATGTACTTCTCACATTTCCTAGAATTTTGCAGTAGCTAATAGCTTTGGCCTACTGGTGAGCTGGGGCATGATTTCTCACTGAGCCCCTGATCTTCTGGTTACCTGTTTGCTGTTTGTCATGCGCATACCTGATTCTCATTGTTAATCACAGGACACTCTTCCATCTCAGGAATCATGGTCTGTGTCCAGCTTTCTCCTTCTCTGTTTTCTCAAGCCAGGTAACACAGAAGTACACCTGTGCATCTGTCAGACATCCTGATATCACCTATACATATAGGTGTACATATTGCATGTACATTTCCTAAGGTTCCCCCCCAAACAGTTCTCAACTCTCTTTTATGGAATGTTCTGTTTGAGTAAACTAGGAGCCCCATCTGTTAAGAAGTGCAGCGCCTTGCAAATGTGTTCTCCCCCTTCCCTGATGCGCAAGGCTTTCAGCACTGTGTAGATGCAAGATAGTTGTCCTTTTTTATTGTGGGACAGAAGTTTTCAGAGTTGTGTATCTCTGAGAAAAATGAGAGCCAGCGTGGTGTAGTGGTTAAGAGTGTGGGACTGGGACTCAGGTGACCGGGGTTCTAGTCCCCACTCACCCATGGAGTTAACTGGGTGCTTTTGGGCCAGCCACGGACTCCCAGCCCAACCCACCAACAAGGCTGCTGTTGTGAGGATAAGATTGAGAGGAGGAGGAGCAGGAAAATTTTGTAAACTGTCTTGAGTTCCTTGGAAGGAAAAAGGTGGGGTATTAATATTATAAATATAATACACTATAATGCCCATTAAGTCAATTTCAGTTCCAAGGCATAGCACAACAAAATGCACACAAGTCAAAATGGTGTGACTTCTGCGAGGCACTGCAGAATAGGATTGGGCAGCCTTCTCCAGCCTGGTGCCCCCCAGATGTGTGTTGGACTACAGCTCCCAGTATGTTTATTGGAACAGGCTGGAAGTGTACCCCAACACCTGGGTGGGGAGGGGCCAGGTTGGAGAAGGCTGCTGCTGTGCATGGTGGAGAGTGCTTGACACACTTCGCATCCATCAGCATGGTACCCGTCAGACATTTCGGGCTGCCTCTCCCATGGTCTGGCCATTAGCCTCGCTGACCCAGGCTTCAAAGCTTTGGGGTGCAAACCTACGGGTGGGCCCTCAGTGCTCCCCATGTTGGAGGCCTCGGCTGAGGTGTGGCACTCCCAGTATTTAAAGGACTCCGAGCTCAGGGCCACTCTCACGGACCACACAGGACCAGAGGGGAATGGGCAACTTCAGCAGAGAAAGCCACTGGATTATCCTCTGAACCAGTCCTGTAGGCAGGAGAGCCCTGGAGAGGCCATGCAAAGTCACGCATCCTGACCCCTCTCCTCTGCCTGGCAGCAGACTCCTCCTGCCCCTCTGCAACCTCTCTCAGGGGGACCCAGCAGCAGCCTCCCAAAAGAGGCTCTTTGCAGCAGCTGGGAGGGGGGAACTGCTGTGGGGTGGGGTGTCCACGGCTGGCTCCTGCCCCCCCCCCCCCAGGCCCCTGGTCCCGAGCGCTCTGTCGCTGCAGGGCCCACAGTCTGCAGTGAGCGGTGGCACCATGGATGCTCTTGGGGACACATGGGGCTGCCCTGTCTCCGTTCAGAGCCACTCACAACAGAAAATAAGAGCTCCACCAGTGAGGATCCCGTCGCAGAATAAATGGGAAATTATATGGAAAAAGTACAGATCACAGCAGCATTCACCTGCTGCATCCCCCCCCCCCCCGGGCTGTTCTTTTTCGCTTTGCAGCAAATGGCTCACTGATAACTGTAAATCTGACCTCCTCTTGGTGTTGCTATTTATAATTCCTTTGTGCTTCATTTCAGAGTAACTAGATACCTGTTGTATGCTCTTTCTGTAGATATCCATTGCCCAGGAAGTCAAAGATCTTCAGAATCTGTAAGTGTTGCTGCCAGCTGAAGTTGTTGGTATGTCTGGGTGTCCAGCCACCCCATTTAGGAGGTTAAAGGTTTTGCTTTCACAATAAGATGGGTTGGTCTCCTTATGCCAAAGCTTCCATGTAGCCTGAAGTGCCTGATCCTCTCTAATCTTGGAAGCTAAGCAGGGTCGGGCCTGGTTGAAATCTGGATGGGTGACTTAAAGGTTGCGACCCACCCAGAGAGTGATATAGAAATGCTAATAATAACAATAACAATAATAATATATCCTAAATGGTGTTTTCTACAGGGGGCCTTTTTGGACTATTTTTGCATGACCTATGATTGAAGAACTCCTTAGCTGATGTGAAGTCTTTGAGCTGAATTTGGTAGTTAAGGTTAATCCAAGGTTGATGCGATTTTAAAATCAAGGGAAAAAGCCCTTTGATAATTTGGAGCTGTTAGTTAGCTCTACTGCTAACTGAATTATTGTTTTGCTATAAGAAATGATGCTAGCACATAAGTGTTAATTAATTACATTTTTATACTGCCTGATAGCTGAAAGAATCGGAATGCTCCATTCACATTCCTGCTCCTCTTCATTTGTATCATCCTGTGAGGTTTATTAGGCTGATTGTGGGTGGCTGGCTGGCCAAAAATCACCCAGTGAGCTTTAGGGCCAAGTGAGACTTTGAACCCAGGGTCCCAGGTACCAGTCCAGCACAACACCCCAACCGCTCGGTGCAGCATCTGGCTGTTCCATTTGGGAGGGTCTTGAGCAGCAGGCTCTTGAGGAGTGACTGCAGTTGGCAAAACATCGAAACAGAGCGAGTCAGAAGGGGTCTCCCGGGCCATCTAGTCTGACCCCCGGCTCCACGACATGCCCATCACGTGCACGTCAGAACAGCACTGTGCTGTGTGGATCCCTGACTCTTCATGCAAGTTATTCATTTCCCCTCTCTTGCCCCCTTTTTAACTGATAAAGAAAATCAACGAACAATCCACAAGATTATAACAAATACAAAAGTGTGATCACAAAACCGAACTCACGCAAGACAATCAAAAGACCCTGCAGCAGGATGAAAGTGCTCAAGGCATGTTTGTGCGAAATGCTTAACCCATATGCCGCCCTCCGCGCTCTCCAGCAAGGGGCTGATGAACTTGTGGCACAAAAGGAAGGGGGTCAGATGGATAGCAGGGGGGGTGCGTCACAAGAGTTTTGTTCCCTTCCGTAATGAAGCAGGTTTGTGGAAGGAAGATAACTGCATATTGGTTTTGTGCGCACCCGTAGCCTTGCCTTTTTGCCGTTGAGGCTGCTGCCGCCCTTTGGCACACTCGAGCTATCCCATCTCACCGGACTGTTTTTTGAAGAGCTGAACCAAAGATCCCCCCCCCCGCCCCCGCTTTGTGAATGTGGACCAGACGGAAATGGAGAGGGTGCGTCAGAAGCATATCGTCACGCCGTGTGAAGACGGGCGAGATGCTTGGGCTGAGCCCTTTCTTCTCTTGTGTTCATCCTGGCAGAGTAAAGGGGAAAGAGGAGCAGGTGAGAAGTCTGGAGGTGCTGCTGAAGGAAAAGGAGAGCGAGATTGTGAAGAAAGCAGAATGTCTTCAGGTAGAGTCCTGGGAAGCTCTGAGAGTGTGCTGGGGCCTCGTCAGAGTGCAGAACCGACGTGTTTAATCCAGTGCCCTTTGTTTTTTAATGCTCAAAGGGTCAACAGGAGACGCTCCAGCGCTTGAACGACAGAGTCAAGGAGTTTGAGCAGCTGAAATCTCAGCAGGTAGGGGGGTCTTTGCCTTGTCTCCTGTCTGTTGCGTGATTTCCAAAAACGTTTTAAGGCAGCCTGGGGCTTGTGATCACAGTTTCTAAGGCAGGCTTCCCCAGCCTGGCGCCTTCTGTCATGTGACAGCCTCAGCTCTCCTCAGCGCCAGCCAGCATGAGCAGTGACCGCACTAGCTGGGGTGGTAGGCGTTGTGGTCCGAGACATGGGGGGTGCCAGGCTGGCTGAAGGCTGATCTAAGTAATCCCCCCTGGGGCAGGACTTCATGTTGTGGGGCACCTGGAGGGGCATAAGGAGGCCTGAGGCAAAACTCAGGTAAACTACCCAATTCAGTCTAAGCTTCGTCATAAAATCACTTGATGATCTTGCAGACTTGCTCATGGTTGCATCCCTCCCATCTCTTCCCTGTTAGGCTTCTGTTGCTTCATCGTTCCAAGATCTCGAGGCCTTGTAAGTAAACCAGCGCGTGCTTCTTCCAGTATTCCTGAGTGTTTCTCCTGTCTTCCAGTCCTTCCGCTTTGTTTCTTAAATGTGTTAACTGTGTTTTTAGGTCTGCAACATTTTACACCAAGCTTTCTTTTGGTTTTATGTTACTTTAAACTGTTAGACGTTTTATGCTCATATCCTGCTGCATTTGGGGGTTTTAACTTCTGTGAGTTGCCCAGAGAGCATTGGCTGCTGGAAGGTATGAAAAGAAAGTAATATAGATCGTTGTTTGCAAGACACCTGACATGGTTGGGAGTGGGGTGCCTGAGAGGCCACGTTGCAAGATTTCCTGGTATTGGTTTTCTGCTCCGACTGATGTGACTTTCCTAAAGAATTTCTACTGTGGAAAGTAGCACTGCACAGGGAGAGTTTGGCATGCAGCTTGTTGCCAGAGCGCTGCCATCTCGGGAGAGACGGAATAATTCTTGTCATGTGAACTGTTGGCCTGCAATTCACTCCCAGCAGTGTTTGCTCTTCGGGCTGAGTGGAGCATTCTGTTTTAAGTGCACAACTTCAGGGCAGAACTTGAGCACTCCTCGTCCGCTCAGCAGGGCGGCAGAAATGGCCCGTTGAGCCTTGCTGGAGTCAGGCCTCCAGACCTGGCAGCTTCTTAGCCCAAGGGCCAAATCCAAGTTCAAAGAAGCCCTGAGGTGTTGCATTCCCCAAGGGTGACCATGCCAGAGGCAGAAAGGGTGGGGACAAAAATGCCAAGCCACTCCAGCTTTACTTGACTCCTGTTAACTAAACCATCGGAGAGGCATTTCAGCCTTTTTCACCAAAACTGTTGTGGGAAAGTTGCTGCCTCTGGGGAGGGGATTGTGATCATGTGGTAAGGCCCCGGTGGCTGGACTGGGCTGCCTGGCTTGGCCCTTGCACCTGAGGCACAATCCCCACTGTAAGTACCGTGTGCAGGATACATGCCATTCTTCGGGGGGCACCTTTCCCGTGCCCCTGGGCTCAGGGCAGAATGCACCATTTCCTCACTCAAGGGCTGTCCATCCCATTCCCTCTCTCTCAGTTGCTGATGGACCCTCTATAACTGATGGAATTTCCCAAACTCCATCTATAGTAAAACCAGTCCACTGTCTTTTCTGTGAGTCACACTGGGTTTGTTTCAATAAAGAAAAGCAGAATGCAGATGTCAGAAATGAATGATAAACGAATGAAACCGTGGATCAGACTTGATTTCAAAAAATAAGTGCAAATAACCTTTGGAATGGTGTTTGCAGGCTGCAGGGGAAGCAAGAAGATGTGCAGAGGATGGAGACCTTATTAGAGGAGAGAGCGAAAGAAATCACTCACCAAAGAAAAGAGCTGCAGGTGATGCCGCCACAGCCTCGCGAGGAGGAGGGGCGTGGGGCGTGAGCTGGGCAGGTGCGTTTCACGCGTCTCCCTCTCTTGCAGGCCGTGCAGGAGGAGAATCGGTTACTGAGAGCACAGATCCAGGAAATACAGCAGGACAAGGGCGAACAGGTATTTCTTCAGACTGCTGATAACGGTGGTAGGAGGAGGGTGTTGGGAGAAGGGCCCGAAGTGTGGTATGCTGCCTGTGTTTGAAGTGGCTGGGAGCTAAAGCAGCTGGCCTGCCCAGATCACGGCACGGACTGCTTCCCATGACAGAGAAGGGCATGGTTTCACTGGACCGTTTCTTAGTCAGTTCTGAGCGTCCTGCTTACTGGGCCCGTTGTGCGTCGTGTGGACACCCACTGCAACCTGTTGTTACTTGCCACTGCACAGCTTTGGCTGCGCAACAGCAGGGAAATGAAGTCAATAATAAGTTTGTGGGTAAGGAAGTGGCCGGTCGGGCAGCCTTTCTCCCGGAGCACACGGTCCCGCTCCATCCTTCCTTGATGCAGCCGGTTTCACTGAAATTCCTTCGCATGTGAATCTCTCCTGAAAAAGATACATGGTCTGAGTTGCCCAATCAAACGTTGATCTTTCCAGGGGCATATAAAATGTCCAGGCCTTTGGATTCCTGATTGTATAAAGTTTTTAGGGTAGTCCATGCGGCAGACATAAGAATGGGGGTCTCTGAAGAAGTCAGGCCTGTAACTGGAAGAGCGTTGTCTGTTGTGGTCCCTACCCTGGTTAGCCCTTAACTAGGGTGAGGTGCCAGCACTGTGGCCAGTGGGTGGGTTCCTTCCCTCCCTCCCTCCCCTCCTGAGCTCTCAAACTGAAGCAGCTGTTTCCCTTCACCTCTGACTTTCAGGTACGCCCTGGGTCCCTTCTCTTTTAATAAAGATTTTATTAAGATTTTAAACTAAAAACTAAAAAACATCAGTCATCAAATACATCGGACGTACTGGGTCAGCCCCCTATAACACATCTTTTTAACATTCTGTAATCATATTCAAATCTATTTATAAAAATTTAAAAACACCTTTAAATCTAAGCCAAGTCCCGTTTCTGCAGCCAATCATAAAAAAGGTCCCAAGTTTGATAGAAGTCCCGGGTCTCTGCTCTTGAGAGGAAGGAAGAGGCTTTCTCTGGGTTTGGAGGCATCACAGGAGCATCAGAGCCTGCCCAATACTGAGCCAGTTCTTGGGTCCATCTAATGCCCAGTCTCGGCAGCACTGACCCTGCACGGTCCTGGGCAGGAATGTTTCCTGCCTTGCTTCCGGGATCGGGCCTGGGATCCTCTGCCTGCAAAGCGGGGCTATGCCCCTGAGCTGCAGCAAGGGAAAGAGCAGGAGTCCAGGGACTCGGAACTGTGAGCCTGAAGCCTGTAAGTGGCTCAGGAAACATGCTCCATGCCAGATGCTAAACAGCCTCCGGTCAGCACGCTCATCTGGCGATCTTGTGGGAAGGTGCATAACCGTCCTGTGAGGGTGCCCTCCTATAGGTGGCATAGAGTCGAAAGACAGCAGCTAAACCTCCCTGAATTGCTGGAAGCTGCCTTCCGGTGCGTGAATCCGGTTGTCAGCCATTGCACAAGAGCTGACAAAGAGTCAGGCGGCCATGGACAGCTGGTGCCAAAAGCACCGTGTGATTGCAAATTTCCAGACTCTTCAGTGCGACGCCCCTGGGTGCTCGTGTGCCCATGGACACGTTTCTGGGAGCACATCGGGTGCTCCCTGCCCTTCCTGGTTTTCAGTTTATTTCCCAATGTATTTTTTAAATAACCGTTGTTGTTGTTGTTGTTGTTGTTGTTGTTGTTTTTAATGGAGAGGCTGACCAAGTGACGCGCTGGCCTTTGGCTAGAACAATCCCTGTTTGGGTTTCGGCAAGTGGCTTTGAAACTCGCCCCCTGTCACTATCCCGTAGTGATGTTCTTGGGCAAGTTAGTCTTCTTTTAGCTGTTTTGGCTTCTGGGAAACAAGTGTTGCTTGAGTGGCCATAGAATCATAGAGTGAAAGCGCTGGAAGGGGCCACGAAGGCCATCTGGTCCAACCCCTGCGACTGCAGGACTCCAGGTTGCAGCACCCCACTCAGGCGGCTGTCTAGTTCCTCCAGTGTGGGAGAGCCCAGCGCCTCTCTAGGCAGCTGGCTCTACTGCCCTGGCCTTTGTGTGAATGGCCTGGGCACAGCGTGGCAGCCGTTTGGTAACGCCCCATCTCAGCAGCGGCATGTGCTGATCTCTTTCAGGAATCGCTGGCCTTCAAGAACGAGCAACTCCTACAGCTGTAAGTTATTAGCAGCACATCCGAACTGCGATCTGTCCTTTGCGTGGGAGAAATGGGTGCCAAGCGGCCCTGAATTTTCGTGATGGGCTGGATGCTGGCCGGTCCTTGCTTCCTGCCACTGGTTCATCTTGCCCCTGCAGTGCAGCTGCCTCCTGGGAGCCCATCCCACAATGCACCGCCCTGTCCGATGAGGCTTTACAGGGCTTGGGGAATTTTGCAGGAAGTCGTGCTGGGGAGTGATTGGGGCGCGCTGCCTGAGCAGCGTTTGATGAAAAGTGGGGGTGAATCTTGGCAAATCAGACCATATCCCTGGAGCTGAGGATAGCTGGGCTTGCATTCGCACCACCGTGATTTACACGGGGACACACCCTCCAAGTACGCCGAAAAATGAATACGTCGCCCTGGTCTCTGCTGCCTAGAGGCATTACGGTCCTAATTCAGATTCGGAGAAGCTCCCAGTGCCCGCACTCCAGTGTTGGGGGTGCAGGTCAGAGTCAAAGGGATGGGGCTGAAATGGGGGTTGCACAAGTGCGGCGCTCCCACCCCAGCCTGTGGGTCCGATGCAGCCCACGGGGCCCCTGGAGGAATCCTGTCCCCTCAGGGACTTGCTCTCAGAGATAGGAGGTGACAGTAGAGAGCCCCCCGTGCCCTTCACTCCCCCCAACAAGCCGTGTGCAGAGGCATCCAGGGACGGCTGCAGGAGACTCGGCTGCCTTCCGACAAGTACTGGGCAACTTGGCCCTGGTTTCTTGCTTTGACAAGGGCAGGCTTCCTAGTCCTCATGATTTGAGGGCAAACCCCCAACACACACAGGGCTGCTTGTGTGTTCCCATGAACAGAAATAAGTGGGCAGTGGTACTTCCCGAGTGGTGGAGACACTCCAGATTTAACGGCATGCAGACTCAGGTCTCTTCCTTTCCCTTTTGCACGCCATTCAGCATTACTGGGAAGGAGCAAGAGATCACCAGCCTCCAAAAGGAGCTGGGCTCCTTGAAACACGCAGTGGAGCAGCAGAGGCAGAAGAACAACGTGAGTAACTGCGTCAGAGCAGGTTTTAGAAACTTGGTGGGAGGAGCTGGATTATCGAATGTGTGGGCCCAAAGGGAGGCAATCTCAGGACGGTGACGCCTGGGTGGGAGATGGTGGGGAGGCCCTTGATCTATGCAAGGAGGCAAGCCCTGGTCACCCTGTGCCTGACATGCTCGTCCAAAGCACGTCTCCCCTGGAGAGCCTTCATTCTTGCTTCGCTTCTTCGTGAGTCCTTGTGCTGTCGCTTAGCATGCCCTGAAGCCTGCAGGATGATCGAATCCGTTTCTTTGCGGGGCTCTGTGGTTCTGTCATTTCACCGGTTCCCTCACTGGGATTTTTCAGGGTTTGGCTTGTCCCGCAAATGGGCCTCAGCCCCTTCTCCCAAGGCATCCCAAGAGAAGCATGCTCTGCCTGTGCATGGGCTGTCCCGGCCTGGTGGGTGGGGGCCGGATCGGTGCGCAGGCCCAGGCTGCCATCCAGGGCTCAGCAGGCCACGCTATCCTGGCGAGCCTGGGAAGCCAGGACAGAAATAAAGCCCCACTAATTCCATGGGGTTATGGACATAACCAGGCTTTCAGTGGCTGGGACACATTAAGAAGTCCCGGCCTGAAAATGAGAGGCAGGGCGCAGCCCTCCAACAAAACTGCCTGGCAGATTTTGAATGCGCAGCAGTTCTACTTGAGTTTCTCTTTGGAGCAAGTGCCCCTTACCCGGCGTTTGTATCCAGTATTTTGTTTCATCTTTTGCGGTTTTCCCCACCTGGATGCCCTCCAGGTGTGTTAGACTCAACTCCAAGCACTTCTGGAGGGCCCGAGACTGGGGAAGCCTGCTCTGATTTTAATCTCGTAGCAGCATTTGGAAACCACGATAGCAACCGAACAGTTGTGTTGACAGGTGGTGATCTCTGCCTTTCTGCTAAGGCAAGTGGTAGAGTTTTTCGTGCTATTTCCTATTGAGAGAACTGAGCGCTTCCGTCAGGGCTGAGCTGTGAGCCTGGCTGTCTCCTGCTCAGATCTTGCTGGGGGGCTTTTGGCAAGTCATTCTCCCTCGGCCGGCCTCCCCCTGCCACCCCATAACTGCCCCAGAGGGAGGATGATAGCGCTGCAAACGTACGGGCTGGCTGAGACAGTGCATGCAGAGTGCTTGGGAGAGAGGACAGCATCATGAAAGTGCTTCTTAGCAGATGAATTAGTGTGGCTGCCCCCCTTCAGCACTCCCTAAACAGAGTAGAAAGCGCAGGGAACAAACACTTCCAGACTGCTGCTTGGTCCAGCATGAACTGAAACCGCTTTGCACTCCTCTCAGCACGGTTTGCAGTGTGGTGGGAAAGTGAACCCATGGAACAACCAGAGCCCAAGAAAGATATTTGAGGCACCAAGCCCAGCACTGTGTACTGACAGGAACCGGTGGCGCTCCAGATGTTGCTGGGAGCTCTCTTGCATCAGCCCCAGCCGGCACATTGCTTGGTCGGTGTTGATGGGATGTTGTTGGACCTGCCCAGCATCCACAGCTTCACTGCCCGTGTGTTACCTTTCCAGATCCTTTTGTAATGAGATAGCGGGGTGGAAGCGGGCATTATCGGCATACAAAGCAGCTGTTTTCTCCCCAAGCTACGAAGCCTCCCTAAGGTGGTGGCCCCAGGTGCTTCAGGGGCCCGCCTGCTGTGGCCTGAGCGTCACTGAGTGGCCACCCAGAGCACTGGCACAGCCATGCTGATTCAGCTGAGCTGTGGCTTATGCAGGCAATGCAATTCACCCGGAGTTGGATTGTTTCCTGGTTCCGTGTGCATATGTGGATTTGTGTGTGCGTGTGTGTATGTTACTCACTTTTGAATATTTCTCCCTTTTCTTCCTCACAAATGCAGTCAAAGTATGGGATTTCTGGTAGGGGTGCCAAGGTATCCCGCCAGAGTCAAGAATATATAGGTTGTTGGGGGTGGGGGAAGAACCAGCCTTTTTTTTTTCTTTTTGCTTTTGAAGTTTTTCCATGCCAATTTTCTCCTTTTTAACATCACACTTGTCTTTTGCTAGTGTGCCTCATCTTAACCGAGCACCAAACCCATTTTGCAGTAACCTGCACTCAAATGCAAACGCTCGCTCTCTGAAGTGAAAGCAGAAACCGTTTGATTATTGGCTGAACTGAAACCATTCTTTCTAAAAATGATTAGGACCTTCGGGAGAAAAACTGGAAAGCAATGGAAGCATTGGCCTCAACTGAAAAATTGCTACAGGACAAAGTGAACAAGACAGCCAAGGTTGTAATAGTACTAACTGCTAGAAACAATGCATTGAGCTAGAAGTGATTCTGCAGCCGCCTTCTAGAATCAAATGGAAGCATTTAGCTTTTACTGCAATTTTAAATACACTCTATTCTGAATGCGCACTCTCTTTCTCTCTCTCTCTCTCTCTCTCTCTCTCTCTCTCTCTCTCTCTCTGTCTCTCTCTCTCTCTCTCTCTCTCTCTCTCATATGTGGTACGTTTCACCTCTGCTTGTGCCTGTCATCTTAAACCTCCTCTCAGTTTTTTCCTCTCTTTGATTTGTGAGCATGCCAATCTACTTTTCTTTGTTTTGAAATGGGCTAGATCCATAGGGCCACGTCCTCCCCCTTCAAAGATGGAATCATAGGTACCAGCCTCTTGTCTCTCGTCGGCCTTCCCTCAAACCTTCCCTCACTTGGTGCCTAAAGAAACTGGTTTGCTATGCAACAGCTACCCGCTGGTGGTTTTGAAAAAGGGCATGCCTTCTCCCGGCTAGCAGTAAAAAGACATTAGACATTCAGCTGCACATGCAATGAACTGACCATATTAAGAACGTCGGCCATATCCAGTATTAATCTTACATAGTGTAGACACATTAAAATGAATGGGATTTCCATTCATTCTGACCAACTATTCATTAATTCTAGTGGGTCTGCTCTATGTATGTATGTATTTATTTATTAGATTTGTTTAAAAGCTGCACTTTAAGCATCATGTTCTCTGTACGGTATGTAGGACTAATACTGGATACAGTCCCTAAGGACCTGTGTGTAGCACCCCCTTAGTTCAGTGGGTGAAATGTGGAAGAGCATAACTGCCATCCCAAAATTATGTGTGTGGTACTACAGTGATACCTGGTAAAGATCCACTGCTCCACTTTAATACCTGCCAGATTCTGTTGCCGTATCTCATTCCCATTCCAGGTAAAAATATATGCAGTCCAAATTGATTTCTTCAAAAAGCATGAAAACTGTGTTTCAAGGGCTTAAAATGGAACTCGGAAATGTTAAAACAGAAGTCAGACAGAGAGATGGCTTGTCCCTGCTTCACTACCCCTGCCAGCAAAAGCAGTGAAATTAACCAGAAACTGACGACGACACGAACGCTTCCCAAACTCTCGGTGTGTCAGTCTCCTCTCAGATCAGGAACGGGAAACCAAACCAGGAGCCCGGGTTCAGGCACAAAGATTCCCTGTTTAGTTTCTGCTTGGGTTAGGTGCTGTGGCTCGCAAGAGGAACCAACAGGTTTGGATCATTCATGACCCAGCTTAATTTTGACCCCCAGCAGATGGGGGCCCCGCATGTGGGTGAACACCTCCTAAGTGCTCGAAGTCGCTCAGCCCAAGAGACTTCTATAGCTTGTCACGTGTTCTCCCTGCTCCATGAGCCCTGCGATGTTTAGCTCGAGGCTCTGCGAGCCCAGCCCCACAGGACTGGGGAGCGTGTCGGGGCGGGCGGGGAGGCTCCATCCTGAACCTGTGGCCGGGAGTGCCGCTGTGCCTTCCAGCCAGGCAAGCAACACGGGCATCCCCGATGCACCTGCACTGGTGCCTTTCTTGGAACCTGCCCTAGGCAGGGGGCAGTCCCAGTAGTCCTTCCTTAGCAGAGATGCTGACATTCTTTGCTCTCCCCACACCCCCGATTCCTAGATGCGAATCTCCCCGAAGCTGGGCTGGGTGTGAAATCAGTAACAACAAGGGGTTCTTCCTGCAGTGCAAGGTGTTTTGGGGTGGCTTGGTCTTGAACAGACAAGAAAGCCTGTGAGCTTTATAAAAGTTCGGCTTATGCAAGAGAGGGAAACTGCTAGACCCGGGTGCTGATCGGGATCAGCGTGGTTCCCTGCAGTTTTTGTGCTCTCCTTGGGGGAATGGCTGGGGGGGGGGCAGCCACAATGACGGAATCCCCTCCAAGATACGCCTCCCCTTCAAGGGTCACGAGGCACGACCACATCTGGGATGCATCTCAAAAAGCTTACGGCTGGTTCATACAGGCACGTCCACAACTTGGCAACAGTAGAGTGGTACCATCTCAAAGGTGGTCCTTTTGTGGTGGGCTGACTCTCACATTCAGCTGAGAGCCACGCAAGGAGTGGAGCATGAGCACTTACGAACCAGCCTTAGCTCTGCCCGGATTCTTTCAATTTGATGTTCTCATCATGTTTGAATGTGATACTTGGGTGGTTTCTTGCCGCATGAGTTTTCCATTTGACAGTTGCAGTGCCTTCATCCATAGTTAGGGGGGAGATGAAATGGCAGGCGCATAAACATAAACCTCACTTTGATGCCAGCTTCCCCCAGCAAAAACCATTTTCTTACGAGCTAAATTGCCCCCTAAATAGGGCGGTTCAAATTTTGCATTTGGTTCACCATGGTTTGAGTCTTTCTAAAGCTCCAGCCCCGTTGCTTCCTTGGCCTAATCTAGGCCTGTTTTAAGACCTAGGTATACATCTTGAGTTGCATTATTTCTCAGGGTATATACTCACTGGGGAAAACTCTAGATGCCTTGAAAAGGCAGGAGGAGCAAAAGAAGAAAGCAGCACCAGGTGACCCTCAGAAAGGTGCCAAGGAAAAACTCTGGTGGAAGTTTTTTTTTGCTAGAGAAGGGACAGCTGTTGGCTAGCTAGTCCTGATGGCTGCAGGCCACCTCCTGTGACACGTCCGTGTGCATCGGCAGGAGGGCTCTTGTGAGGTTCCCACTGGGCATGTGGTTCACCGCTGTGGGAACAAAATGCTTAATTAAATGGGCCCTTGGCCTGATCCAGCAGGGCTTTCCTTGTGCTCGTATGTTCACCTGAGGGGAAGTTTTTAAGGAAAGAAGTTGGCCAGTGGACGAAAATGCCCTCTTGGCACCTGTTTGGGGGCTACCCCTTTGCTTTTAAAAGTAAAGAGCAACTCTCTGCACTTCAGTTTATTTCATTTCTGTACCGCCCAATAGCTGTTGCCATTGTGGAAGGTTTCTGTGCACCCTTAACCCCACCATGCAAACATTAAGTCATCCTAAAAGTCCAGCGAAGGCAAGAAAATAACCAACTAAAAGGATGCTTATCATGAAAACCGCTTAAAACCATCGCATGTAATGCAATGCAATGCCCTGAAGCAGGTCTGTGCTACAAATGCAGAGGAGCCAGGTGGAAGTGTTTTCTGCCTCAGAACCAGTTTGTTAAACGTGGGAGCTTTTAGGCCGAGGCTGATCTGGCCGACTGGAGAGTCTTTGCATTTACTCTTCCTCTTTCCCTTTCCCTTTCTCGATCTAGGAGAGGCAGCAGTCCGTGGAGGTTGCGGAGGCGGAGATGAGAGGAGTCTTGCAGAAATTGTTCCCAGTCGTGTCTCTTCCTTCAAGCTTGGTAAGATGCTCCGCAGCGCTGTGTTTATCCGGCGGCCAGCTGGGCTTCGTTTCCAAGCCAGGCCATGTTTCCGTGGGTGCCCAGGCACTCCCAGCAATGCTGCCCTGCGTCCATGGTTTCTCTGGCCTAGCAATTTTGAGTGCTCAAAGATGGGCTGGTTCTAACTGCGGGTCCTGTGCCTAGTCGTCAGAGCTGTTGCTCCAGCACCTTTCTCTACCTCTCTGCACTCGTAAGGGCTGTCTTGGGCAGGGTCTGATGGTTGCTGGTGGTGGATGGCCGCAGGCTGTGGCTCCCACTTCACAGACGGTTCGGGTGCTGAGTTAGAATTCACAAACGTTCACCTGTTCTGTCCCTGGATGAGCAGGGCTTGCCACCTCCAGTCCCCGACATGCTTGGTGATTCTGGTTTCCCTGAGAGAAACCCAACATGGTGCCTTAAATGTCTGGCTTAATGGCCTTTGGTCTAAGCAGTGAATGAACATCCCTCCATCAGGCACAAAGCTATCACTTAATTTTAAAAACGCAAACACCCTGTCTGCATTTTACACTGTCTGCGTGGCAGTGTAAAATCAATGCGTAGGCGGACAAATCCCTGCTGGTGTTTCCAGCTCTTTTCGCCTCCTGGCATTTGAGTCTGACAAGCGGAAGGGGGAGCGCCTGCTGGAGCAGCGTGACCCGCAAGGTGACTTCTGTGTCCCACCCACTGCTTGTTCCTAGGAGCTGAAAGCAGCACATGCGGTGATCTAGCTGCTCGCCTGCCTGTCCCTTTCACCAGGGCCGCTGCCCAGCAGTCACACCGCTGGGCCTGCAGCCTCGCACGCCCACCCTCCCAGCTCCCCTGTGCTGGCAGCAAACCGCACTGACATCTCGGGCGCTGTCCACGCCTGTGCCTTGGGGCAGAGTGTTCCGGCGTCCCTGATTTTCAGTGGAGTCTTGCCTTGGCCTTGAGCACACATTTCTTACTGGATTTTTTCACAACATTTCTAAACACCCCTTTAACCAGTTATTTTCTATTTTATGTCACTATAAAATCCTTAGTATATTATCGTGCTGCTAAGGTGCTTGGCCATCCTTGTCCTACCACCTGCATGTTCTTGGTACATATGACCACCACCTTGCCCATCCTGGCTTATTGGAAGAACTAAGGAAGGGCTTCACACCTGGATCCAGGAGTCTGCAAAAGGAGTGGTGCCAGGCCCTTTGAAGGAGGCTGTGATCAAAGCACTCCTTAAAAAGCCTAGCCTGGACTCGGTGGATGTGAATAATTACAGGCCACTTGCTAACATCCCCTTCCTGGGCAAGGTGTTTGAGCGGGTGGTGGCCAAACAGCTCCAGGCACTCTGGGATGAAGCGGACCACCTTGATCCATTTCAGTTGGGTTTCAGGCCTGGTTTTGGAATGGAAACTGCCTTGGTCACCCCATGGGATGACCGTTGCCAGGAGAGAGAGAGAGAGAGTGTGACCCTGTTGATACTCCTGGACCTCTCAGTGGCTTTTGATGCTATCGCCTATGGTGTCCTTCTGGATAAGCTGGCTAAGGAGTAGGTGGAACTGCTTCGCAGTGGCTCCACTCCTGCCTGGCTGATCGATTCCAGAAGGCGATGCTGGGGGATTGTTGCTCTGCGCCCTGGCAGTTTTGCCATGTGGTGCCGGAAGGCTTTATTCTGTCCCACAAGCTCTTTAACATCTACATGAAACTGCTGGGGGAGGCTATCTGGAGATACGGACTGAAATGTCACCAATACGCAGACGACACTCAGCTCTCCCTCTCCTTTTCATCAAACCCAGGTGAGGCAGCAGCCATTCTAAATCAGTGATTGGACTCAGTGATGGGCTGGCTGAGAGCCAGTAAGCTGAAGCTCAGTCCAGACAAGGTGCAAGTGCTGTTGGTGGTCAGTCATCTGTCCGTCTGGGAGATACTCTACCTGCCCAGGGTGGGGTAGCACTCGCCCTAAAGAATAAGGCTCATAGTTAGAGTGTGTTCCTAGACCTTGAATTGTCACGTGAGCTGCAGGTGGACTCAGTGGCGCGAAGCACCTTCTCTCAGCATTACGCTGGTTGAGCAGCTACAACCCTTTCTGGACAGACAGAGTCTGGCCGCAGCTATCCATGCCCTGGCGCACTCTGCATGGGGCTGCCTTTGAAAATGGCCCGGCAGCATCGGTTTTTTGAGAGCAGAGCAGCGCAGCTCTTAATGGGGACTGGCCCATGAGAGCGCATCACGCCAGTCCCCTTTCAGCCAGTTGGTGTCTGGGCCCAATTCGAAGTGCTGGTGTTCACATTTCAAGCCCTGAATTTCTTTAAATGTAAACCTTGAAATACAGCATGACAAGATGTTATATACATTTTAAAAATGTTTAAAATTCATTATAAAATAAGTAATATTTTGTGTGGTGTAGAGCAATAATTCAAAGCTACAGCAAATACCTTAAACTAATTTCCAAATGCCTGGCAGATCCAAAATAATCTCCTTTTACTCTCCTTCAAAAGTCACTGGGAAAGAGAATGCAGAAACCTGGTTTGCATATAATGCTCACCTGTGTTTTATTTAACCCATGGTTTACTTGGCAGACAGTTGAGCAGCCAGATTGTTTTCTCAGTCCCTGGGTTGAGGAGTGAATTCCACAGTTCTGGGGAAGGCCCTTCTCCTGGTAAATAACTTTCTAGAAGACAGGACCTGTAGCAGGTCTTAGGAGTACCGTATTTTTTGCTCTATAAGACGCACTTTTCCCCCCTCAGAAGTAAGGGGAAATGTCTGTGCGTCTTATAGAGCGAGTGTGTTTGTGCAGTAAGTCTGTCAGATGTGCAGCCCATGGGGAAGTGATGGGGAATGTGCCTGTGATGATGTGCCCATTTGATTCAGAATATTTTTTTTCGTGTTTTCCTCCTCTAAAAACTAGGTGTGTCTTATGGTCAGGCGCGTCTTATAGAGCGAAAAATACGGTATATAACTTAAAATGCATACAAGTGAACTGTGAGGTTATCACAGGATCATTTCTACCGTCCCTGTCCCAGAAATTGGGTCCTCTGTTTTTATGTTATGTCTCGCTGGACAGGCTGGCAGTGCATGATGTTCAGGTCCTACTGTTTTAGGACCCTTGCTGGCAGTCGTCCTGCCACCTCTCGGTAGCTGTGCTTCTCGTTTTTCTAATATTAGCAAAACCTCTTTGGTTTAATGCTTTTTTCTTGCATAGAACCACAGTGAGTGGATGCGTGGGTTTGAAAAGGCAATGAGGGAGCATACGAAAGAAGTCTCTCGACTGGGGGAAGTTAAGGTCAGTATGCACGGGTATGTTTTATATTCTTTTTAAATGCCAGCATTCCTCCATCGCTGATGACAGGGAGAAGGCAATTCTTCTGAACTTGGGAACTGTCTCAAAATATGTGAGATGCAGAGGGTTAAATTTGGCTTCTAATGGGGAACTCGCAGGCTTAGTTTAAGAGCATCTTTAGCTTTGACGCTTTGGTGGATTTGCAGATTTGCAAAAAAAGCTGTTTTCCTGTGGGTGAAGAACTGGATCTCATTTAAGGTTCCCCAAAAGCAAACTCAGTGTGACTTTATTGTATTGAACAATTGCTATTTTAAACCCTTTTATATGAGGAACTATTTTTGCAAAGGGAAAACATGTTAAAAACCCAAAGCTACCACTGACTCTCTTTTGACCCTTTAGTGCCCTGGGGCTACTACAGATCATGAAAGGCTTGAAATTACCTTGCAGACAAGCTAATTTTGACCCTTTTAGTACCCTGTACCGAGCACGATATTGCAGGTGGCGCAGTGGTTTAAACCGCTGTGCTGCTGGGCTGGTTGATCGAAAGGTCGCCAGTTTGAATCTGCAAAACCGAGTGAGTTCCCGTTGCTCCGCCCCAGCTCCTGCCAACCTTGCAGTTCGAAAGCATGCAAATGCAAGGAGATGAAAAGGTGCCACTTCGGTGGGAAGGTAACAGCGTTCCGTGCACCTCGGTGTTTAGTCATGCCGGCCACATGCCCACGGAGACTGTCTGTGGACAAACACTGGCTCCCTCGGCTAGGAAACGGAGATGAGCACCGCCCCCTGGAGTCAGGCATGACTGGACTTCATGTCAAGGGGAAACCTTTACCGAGCACGATTTTGTTTTGTGTTTTTGTTGGCCCAGAAGGGACAAGTTGGTGTAGCCAGCAGGGGGCACAGATGTCTCCCTGACCTGCCCACCACAAAACAAAGGTTCTGAAAAAATCCACGCTGCAAAATGCAGCGGCGCCTTCGCAGTCTCACCTTTATGGGTTGCAGGCTCCACAGAAGCAGGAGATCGCTCCTGCATAGCGGCAGACACGCCAGGGCCTGAGGCTGAAGGCACAGAGCTGGTTTTGCCACGGGCTGTAGAGAGTAATGCTGCACGTGAACTCCGTCTTCCTCTAAACTCTTGTCCCGTTGACAGGAAAATGAAACTCTTCAATACAACTCAGTTTACTCAAATGCACATCAAATCAGCAGCAGCTCTGTCTCCATAGGGTTGTTTGGCCTGGGAGGCACATCTTGAATTCCGATTACTAGAATATGTGCAGCTTGGATTGTGATGGGGATCCCCCAGCCGAAGTTGAGAAGTTTCAGTGGGGGAATAAAAGGGTTTCTCTGAATTGTGGCACCTGAGTGCATTTGATCATGTTTACGTGCAAGTTCTGGTTTGTGGGCCCAGTGCTCATCATGCTGGTCACTCCAGAGGTGTTGCTGATCTTCCAAAGGTTCTTTAATTTTAAGCAACAGATACGGATTTCTGGATGAAACCTGTGTACGCCTTTTTCCTTTGAAAACATCTTTTGAACGTATACTGTACTCAAATCCCATGGCCATCCAGATTCTTAGAAAGACAGAAGAGCTGGTTTAAAACCAGAAAAAGAAAGTCAGATTAGACAATGCCAGGTTAGACACAGACACACGGTGAAAAAGAGAAAGAGGGAACAGCTAAATAGCCTTGCAAATTATATCTATGTACAGGGAAAGGGAGGGCTAGTTCCAGTCCTGTGGACTTAGGGCTCCAAGAACCAAATCCAGCCGTCCAGAATTTGCCAGATGGCCGCTTCTCCTTTCCCCTGGTCACCAATGGTTGGTGTGGGCTTTTCACTATTCTTAAGGTGTTTGTGCCTCCCCTCAGACCAAATTGCCAGTAGTCAGAGATTTAAGTTAAGTTTTGTGACTGTTACTGTTCCCTGCTCTCACCAAGAGCGTGGTCCCTGAAAGCTTTCTCCTAATGGAATTGCTCCTTGAGCTGAAAGATTCAGCCAGCCTGCCCGAAGGGAAGCTCTTCTGCGTTGGAAGCGTTCTAACTTGCAGCCATAGGCAGTTTGACCAGAGCAAACCATAGGCGTTGCGCTGCTGGCTGGTGCCTCACGCCCGTGCAATCTTTCTGTCTCAACAGGCCATGGAGCAGAAGTTGAAGGAGGCAGACGAGTTGCATATCATGTTGCAGCAGGAGTGCGAGAAGTACAAAGTGGTCCTTGCAGAGACGGTGAGGAGAATCCTTCTACTTTCTGGCTCTCCCCAGTGGCATTTGCGCCTGCCTCTTCCTCCCGTGAGCATCGAAATAACTGGAATTCTGTGTCACTAGGAGGGAATCTTACAGCGGCTACAGAGGAGTGTGGAAGAGGAAGAGAGCAAATGGAAAATAAAAATCGAAGAACTGCAGAGAGAACTCCAACAGGTATTTTTGGAAGATCCAGTTCTCGGAGCTTCGCACTAATTTTTCTCCCCATTAAACCCTTTGTAGCTACTGCAACACTCTGGTTAGACTTCAGCTATGAACAACAGGCATCTTCTTACAGCTCCGTGCTGTGTTCTTTTATCTATTTAGAAAATGGATGTCCCACGTCTTGATGGAACAATCCAAAAGGTGGAGAACAAAAACAAGAAGGTGCCATTTAAAACCTCAGACAACACCCCTAGCTGGAGGAGGATATAGGCAGAAAATAAAATATGCAGACAAAACACGTAGGGATGTCAAACAGAGAGGCTTCTTCAAAGAAATGATCCTTTAAGAGGACAAGGCCCGATCAGCTTTGATTAGACCATTGGCTGCGTAACTTGAGGACCTTCATGGAGAGGCACTGTTTGCTCTGCAGTGATGGAAGAGAAGGCTATTAGAAGGTCCCCAATCTTTCAGAGCTCCTTTGTGAGGGAAGGAGGCAGAGCACCTGCTCTGCATGCAGGAGGTCTCAGGTGAAGTCTGTGGCCTCTCTGCTTTGGAGGACCAGGCAGCACAGGGTGGGAAGGGGCTTCTCGGTGCGCATGATCCTGCAGAAGAGCTCCTGCTCAAAGCATGCAATTCTCGGCTTGACGGGCCGAGAAGGTCATCCAGTGTGAGGCACCTTCGTTTGCTCCCCCAGAGTCTTTATACTCTTTCGGGTATACTGGACCCAGGGGCAGACTTAGAGTTGCAAGAACTACCTAGCTTGCACCTAGAACCTGAGGGCCACCAGTTGGAGCCTAATGCAGAAGACACAGAACTGGAGCTCAGGGTCTCGTTCTGGATTCTGGAACAGAGCAGGGCCCACAGCCTTCTCCACACAAAAATCCACACTTTCTTCCCTTCAGCGGCATAGTTTGGACAGCTGTGTGGAGCAGTCCTTTGGTTGAGAGCATGGTTCAAAAAGGGGTCGTCCAAGTTCCATGTTGATGCTCAGTAAAACATACAGAGACAGACCGATAGGGGCATGATTCCAGCCAAGGCTCAGGTCCTGTTTTGGAGCAGAACTTCCTTGGCTGCCCTTGACCAAGAGCGGACAGGGAGTGCGACTCCGTTGATCCTTTTGGCACTTGGCTTGGTTTTCTTCTGCTCTTGTCCAGCAGCTCTCCCCTGGGTCGAGCTCCCCTGATGCTTGCTGTGTCCCCCAGGTTCTGACAATGTGGGACGGCCACTAAATCCTACAAGTCCAAGACTGTTGAGGTGTCTCTTGAGTCAAGAGCAGGCCTGTGAATCACCCCAGAGTAGCCATGGCAGAGCTGCACAGCACAACAGGCCCGCGAAGGTAGAGATGGGAAGGCGGCTTGTCGCACTCCTGGAATCCAGTCAGTGAGCTTTGTGTCTGCGGAAGGACCGCCACCGGGTTTCTTAGGAGGGGCGACGCTGCTAATTCCCCTACAGAAATTGGGAACCGGGAGCGTCGCTTAGGAAGGAGGCACTCCTGGCCCTGAGGGTGTGTCAGGCGAGGAGCATTTATGTTGGAGCAGAACCTCCTTTCCTTGCATTCAGCACAGCTGCTGCCTTGTACTTGACTGTGGAATGCTCTCCCCAGAGAGGTCTGCCTGGCACCATCGCTGTATGTTTTCTGGCACCAGGTTAAGACCGTTTCATTTAATCAGTATTTTGATACGTTTTAATATTGTATTTTATTGTTGTATTTTATTAACTTGCAGCCAGAGTGGGTGAATTTACTTATGTTGTAAGCCGTCCAGAGACGCAAGTAATTGGATGGCATACAAATTTTACAAATAAATAGATAATCCTCAGAACAGCCATCGGCACCCTTCTGGGCGTGTTCCCGCATGTAGATGTGATGGAGCAAGGAAGGTTCGACATTCCCCTCCTTCCTGGCACAGTGGCGCCTGCCACCTCTTGAGTTCCAGTCCAGCCCCCTAACAGCTGTGCCTTGGTGGCTTTTCCAGGTGGTAAGAATAGTTAACCCACATCTGATTTTGGAATTTTGACCCTGTGCTTTTTGCCTTTGGCTTCACCCTCCTCTGGATGGTGGCCCCCAGAAGCGTCTTCGCATTTAGATTCAGGCCTCACCCAAAAGCGGTTCAGCAGCCCTGACTTAGAAAGCACCTCTTGTCTGTGACATGTTCCAAGTTCGGGCCCTGGCATCTCAGTACAACAGGTTCCAGTTTGCAGGACTGGAGAAGTCCTCCGGTGAGGCTTTGGAGGCTGACTCCTGGTTAGAGGAGGCACCAACGGCCTGGCTTGAGCAACGTCATATTTTCAACGAGCAACGGGGCGTTGCTGCAAGCAGTAGCTGTCGCGCCTCTTGCGAACACCCTGCTGGAGAAATAAGTGAACCTTTTCGAGCAATATACGTACGAACTGGCAGATCTGTGCCTGGATATAAAAATGGCCTAAAGCAGTACCAGAAGTTCAGTTATGTAGATTCTTTAATGCGGAATTTCGGTGGTGTTCCTTGCCTTCATCAATATAAACTAATCTCCGAAAGGTGATTTTGGATTATGTGTGCAGCAAGTGCTTACTGGAGCCTGCTTAATGCAAACAGAGAGGGCTTACGGGGGACCGCCCCCTCCAAAAAGAGGCCAGCAGTGCTCCAGAGTTAACTTGCAAAGACCATCTGCTGCTTTGTTACCATCCTTTGCAGAGGTAACTGATCTGGGCTTAGTGGTTCCTAATATATGGAGAGGAGCCATCTCTCCCATTTAGACAAAGGAAGTTTGCTCTGTTGCCGAGAAGCTGGTGCAGCTTTCACATTGACAGTGGCCTTTTAGGTCATTAAGGCCAAACATTCCTCCCCAAAAATCTTCTGCAGTTTAAAAACAAAAAATCTTCCGTGGGTGGCTCAAGAGGCTGGACTGTCTTCCATATGAGTAAGATCTGCAGTGCTTTAATGTCTAGGCTAGGGAGGCAGAAGGGAACTACTGGGAGATTGCTGGGTGACTGGCCGTACATCAGCCAGCATTTCCAACTCTCAGTCGTATAAAAATAGCAGCAGTGAAATGATTTTTCCCACCCAAGTGGGAGGGATGAAAAGCAAGGCTTCGTGTAACTAGGGGTCCATCCCGGGATGTTGGCAGCAGCTGCTTATGGCTAGGACACCAGGACCGGATGCTGGACTGGAATGGAGGTGTTAGTGGAATAGCAGGCCTGGAGACGAAGTCCAGATACAAGCCGGAGTCAGATACCAGCAAGGCGGAGCAGGGCAGAGGGAAAGGGGGATCAGATGAGGCAGGTGAACCAGTTCCCAGCACGGGAAGAGTCGGGAGTGAGCAGGAGGCGGGGCCTGGTCGAGGGCAGGGATCACGGTGTGCTAGCTGTGGCGAGGGCAGGAGGACTGAGCATCCTTTCGGTGCCCCTCCCAGGGCTTCCCGCTCGTTCCTCTGGCTGTTCCGGCAGTAGTCTCTGCGTGCACCCACAGGCCTGATCCCCGCCTTGCAAGGACTCGCTCGGGGAGCCAGATGGCAGGCCTCTGGAGGGGGCTGTGCTGCTGCACAGACCCAGACCCTGAGAGCGGATGAGTATATTCGGTGGCTCTGCCGTTTCACTCTGAGCGAGTCTTTTGCACCTGGCTCTGGTCAGTGTCTCTTGGGGTTCTAGTAAAAACTCAGAGTGAATCTGACAAGGCTGATGTCTGTCCATCCTGATCTAGACCAAAGATGACTAACTGGGACAGGGCAGCATGAGGGAGGCTTTAAACAACCCACGATTCGGAGGGAGTGGGTGGAGAAACTTCTCTCGCAGTGTAAGGGAGAGCTTCCAGTGGCTCTCGTCAAATTGCATGAGACTAACTTAAGGCCTACTCGTTTCAGTGGGTCTCCTCTATTTAGGACTAGCATGGAATACCAGCCTAGAACTGCGCGTCATCCAATGAAAGGGATGGTGGTAGATTCAGCACAGTGCTCTTTCATTAAGTAAGCGATCTAAGTTCGTTTACAGTAAGAACAAAACCAGTGAATTCGAATTGCAGTGACAGCACGTTCTCTGAGCAGTCTGAAGCCGAGTGATGCCGGAGAAAGCAGACCAGTGCAAGCAGCCACACCCAGTAGGCTTTTAAAGCTTTGACGGATAGCAGTTCTCAATGTTTGAATGACAAGAGTGTTCTTGATTTATCTAATTGCAGATGCGCTCAACAGTCACTCCTTTGGAACAGGAAATAGAAAGATTAAAGGAAGAAATCAAGGAAGTTGATGCTGTATGTTCCATTTTGTTTCATCCCTGCATAAGATTTATCTTCATTCCAAATTTACTATGAAGGTAGAACGGCCCAGTTTGAGATACCCGAGCTTATCAGACCAGGAATGAGCCCGCGAAGACCCTCCTTTCCCCCTCCTCCGGCTGCTGGCTTTGGTGAAGGGAAGAGGAGACTGAGGGAGGACTTGAGATCACTCCCAAGTACCTCAGAGGCTGTCACCAAGAGAAAGGACAAGATCTCATTCATTCCGGATTGCAGGACATGGAATAACAGTCTTAAGCTAAAAGACACCAGATTTAGATGAGGCACCAGGAAGAATTTCCTGACTGTCAGAGCAGTACCACAATGGGACCTATTTCCTGGGGTGCTTGTGGGCTCTCCCTCACTGGAGACATTCAAAAAGTGTCTGGACAGCCATCTGGGAGGGATGGTTTAACTGGGAGTCCTGCACTGAGCAGGGGGTTGGACCCAACGGCCTCCTGGCCTCTTCCAGTTCTATTTTTCTTTGATTCTGTGCAATTGCTATGATGCCTGAACTGGGAGATGGATTTAAGGGCACCCTGTTAGCCAGGATATCAAGCCAAGATCTGTCTGGATCTGGCACAATCTGTAAGCCATGGATGAAGCAGCAACCATTTTTAAACACAACCACTGCAATAGGAACAGTCAGCTGCCTAATCCTTAGTTGCCAGTATTGATTTTCCCTGTGTTGTGCCCACCTTAAAAACTGGATCAGATTTTACACAAATCAAGAGGTAGCATTTTTCGCTAGTATTCCAGGTGTCAATGAAACTAGGGGAAAATTGACTACTTATGTTTAGCAGTAGATGGTCAGCTTCTTAGCCTGAAGAGAACAAGTAAAACTGTCTGAAAGCAAAGCAAATGGCAGCAGAATGTTTTGTTTCTTTTGTAGCTTAAAAAGGAGCGAGAGCACTTGGAACGTGAGCTGGAGAAAGCAGAAATCGAGCGATCAACATACGTTTCAGAAGTCCGAGAGGTAAACCACCTTCCATTTTTCTCCCCTCCCTTCTGTCCCCCCCTCCTTCCCTCACCTACCCAAGCATGAATTTGGTTGGCCCAAGAATGAAATGCTTGCTCTGCAGCGGCATGGGAGGTTTCTTTGCTTGTGGTGTCAGGACCACTGAGCAGAAGCAGCGGGGAAATGGGGGGATGAAAGGAGATGCATCCTAAAGCCTTTTGACCAACTTCATTTCAGCTCAAAGATCTCTTGACTGAATTGCAGAAAAAACTTGATGATTCATATTCTGAAGCAGTAAGGCAGAACGAAGAGTTAAATTTGGTAAGAGGCTTGGCCTCCACTGAGCAATATTCCAAAGTGGAGAACCCTTTCCAAATCCTCTGTCTGCTAACCTCTTGGGCTCAGCCTTTGTCCACTGCGACCACTTTCAAAGCCTTTCTCTCGCCTCCTCATAACTACCTGACAGGCGCTTAAGCCTCTGTTTTTGTCTCATCTTCCTTGTTGTAAAGCCTTCATATTCCAAAAGCGTGCGAATTTGAAAACCTGTACTCACATAACGCAGAAGAAGTGGCCCTTGGCTACAGGTGTTGGAGTGCCCTTTGATCTGGATGAGGCCCTAAACTAGTAGAGGGCTTGGGTGAGGCTTCTTCTGAGTGGGTGTTCCTCTGGAAGGAAGTCCAGCAGCCGAAGGGTGCCATTTTGGAATTGAAGTTGCATAGTGCAGCTTCCACAGGTTGAGGGTCAGTCCTTCGGTGGTGTACCCAAGCTTGTTGCTACATAAAGTAGGCCTAGTGGAATGAATGGGGCTTAAGCTAGATTAACGTTGGTGTAACCTTCCCTGGAGGCAAGGAAGAAGGAAAGAACAACAGACTCACTTGTCATGAGCTCAGAAAGCTCGGCTAAGGCTGGAACTCCTTCTGGTCATAAAAACCACTGCTCCTTGACTGGGCAGAAAATACAGACCAGCCCAACCAGCCCTTTCCTTAGCTGAACAGTCTGGAGCTGCTACTTCTGGAAGCTGCCTGGATTGGCTTTCACATAGTTCAGCATTAAGGAAACAGGTTTTATTTATGTCGCTTGCAGCATGGTCTTAGTGAGTCTTCTGGAATCAAGAGCAAAAGCTTGAGACCCCTTGGGGGAAGTTTAAGTTCATTTTGAACGGAGAAATGCAGCTCCACTCCATCATTCTTATTGGGAAAATGTGGCACTGGTGCCATGTGCCCTCAGATGTAGAAATTTGTGTATGATAGCACTGTGGAAGAACTCTGAAACTGACTAAGGTGCTCAGTTTTGGGGAAGGAACCCAAAGGAACCCAAATTTAGAGCCACTGATTTGGAAAGAACAAAGCAGTACTGGACCTGTAGGAACAGAACGGATATACTAGAAGTGCCAGCAACCTTTCTGGGGTTTCTGAAAGGGATAGCCTGCCCAGTCCTTGGGAGGATAATGCCAGATGGTCGACGGCTTTGGTCTGCTTGCTGTATAGTAGAGCAGAAGCTGAATGCCAGTGATCAGTGGAATAGAGGCATGTTTGTGAAAAGCCGTGAGCAAATTCACTGATAATGCTGGTGAGACACTGGGCCCCAAGTGCATCAGGCACCACACAGATCCTAATCCCTGGTCGGCATCCCCTTTCACCCCTGTCGCTGATGGAACCTCTGATCCTCTCTGTAGTACTTGTCGACTAATCTCCTCTGTGCGTGTGAACTCGTACTTGTATCTTCCTTCCCCCAGCTCTGCACTGATGCATCCCAGGAAGGATGTATCCACATGGCCTTGTCTTATCTCTTACAGTTGAAAACCCAGTTGAACGAGACGCTATCCAAACTCAAAAGCGATCAAATGGAGCGGAAGAATCTGGCCAGTTGCTTGCCGAAGGTAAGGAACTGCAGCCATGGGCTGTTGAGATTTGTCCGCCCGGGGAGGGCCTTCCGTTCCACCTTAAAGGACCATCTGAGAAATTGTTGAGGTTAGATTGCTCTGCCAGCGGAGCCCCCCAGACAGCCCCAGGTCACAACTACCTGCCCTTGGCCACCCTCCACGCTAGACTGCTCCGGTGTGTTTTATGTGGGGCTGCCCCTCAGAGGCTATTCGGAAAACTCAGCTCAACCTGTCCCTTCCAGGTGGCGAACAGGGGACTGGCAACAGGAAACGCCCTTCACCTGGTCTCTCAGCAGCCTCCCTGGCTGCTGGTTTTTTCCCTAAGCTAATCCAAGTGGCAGGTCCTCATGTTTAACGCCCTTGTGATCTGGTGCCCGAAGGGTTGCCATCTCCCATTGCAAGATACTGTGCTTTTCTCTTGAGCTTCTGTGCCATCATCTCCTTCAGAAATTGGGCAGAACGGACCAGAGAAAGTGTGTTTCCGTTACGCAGCCAGGCTGGATGAGCATTCTGCCCAGGAAGCCTCACCGGCACCCATCCTTTGCTTTACCAGCTGCAGGCAAAGGCCTTTTTCGCCTCCCACTGATCCCCGTTGTTCCTGGGTCCTGATTTTGTCCTGCTTGTGATTTTGTCGCAAGCAGGAGTTTGATACCTTCCCCTGGCGGCATTTTGCTGGACAGCACGGTGGTTTCTAAATGAGAGAAAGCCCCTCAAAGCTTGCCTCATGTGGGTTAACTCAGCCTTCCCCCACCTAGTGACCTCAGGTGTGAAGGACTGCAGCTCTCATCATGTCATCTGTAGGATGATGGCAGATGTAGTCCTGGGAAGGTTTCAGGAAAAGGCTGGGTCAAGCTCTGTGCTTGCTTCTCTGGGCCCGCAGCCTCTGTGTGGGCATGGATGAGAAACTGCCCCATTGAGGGATGCTGGTTTTTTGGTGGTGAGGGGTAAGTGATCTGCACCTCCCAGACCCCAGGCACGGAAACAGATGCAGGTTAGAGTTGGAAATGCCTGCATTTTGCACTTACGATGCATTCTGTGAAAGGAAAGACTTGCCATTGACAAGATGAGTGCATTTGAAAGATATGCAAGAGTACCCACACAACCCCCCCCCCACACACACATACACTCTCCATACATTTGCACGAGCAAGTTGTGGAAATGTGGAAATGTGTAGAAAGTTATATTTTTTTCATTTAAAAAAATCCCAAAATGTGGATGGAACCAGAATGGACTTGAAGGTTGGGAAAGAAGGGACTCTGCTGAGAGAGACTGACAGGTCTCAAGTTGGCTTCTCAGCCGCTGGGACGCTTGCGAGGGAGTGGTACCCAGCCCCTTCCTCCCATCTCAAGCAGCCCCGTGCTGTGCATGAGCACACACAACACACCTCTTTTTGGATGTCCCCCTAGAGTTAAGCTGAGCGTGATGAGCCTCCCTTTAAAAAATCGTGGGGGTTCTGTCTTTCTCCCCACACTTGGAATCTTCTGGTTGTCCCTCCTGTAGTCCACCATGATGTGTCCGACTTTAATTCAAGAAACAGCAAAGCATTTTAATCTGTCACTGTTTTTCCATTAAGGCCCAGGAATCGCTGGTGACTCTAGAAAGGGAAATAAGCAAAGCGACCGGGGTCACGAACGTGATAGAGAACAGTGACGTCTCTTCGCAGACGGTGAGTGGCAGCTGGGCCTGCGAATGAAATGCTGCGTGCTGTACGGCACGGGTCTTGCCAGAATCCGTTACCTGCACACGAACGGTGTACAGGCAATGAGCATGGCGCTTGCAGAGCCCCTCATTAGGTGATGCAGGTCACTCCCACAAGTTGTGGCTGGGGCCTCACGGCTTGAAAAAGGGACGGGACAGATCTGGGGAGGAGGAGGCTGCCCTGGCCCTGTGCGGCCTCCTGGTTCTGAGCCGGTGAGCTGTGGACACCACCGGCTCAGGACCGTGGGGCAGGGAAGCCCTCAAGGCCCGTGGGCAGCTGAGCAGGACGTGGCAAGGCCTGGGGCGGGGAGGCGCCCCACGTCGCTTGGGCGGAACTTGCAGCCCCGCAGCCGCCGGTCCCACCACGGCACGGTCTCAGCCCTGGCACTGTATGGAGTGACCCAGAAGACAGCACCACCTGCCTTGCTTCCCAAGGGCTTCTTGCCTCTTTTTCCAAGCCGTGGAAGATCCACTGGTGCCCAGGATGGCGTCTGGTCGGTAGTGCTGGGAGCCCCCCCCCCCCCCCATGGGAGCCCCCAGGAATGCCGGCACCTCGTCGAGGCCTTGCAGGGGAGGATGGCTTCCCCCACTGGAACCTTGTCATGTTTGGACAGCCCGGTGGTTGAGGTCCGAGCAGGGCAGATCGCAGGAGAGGCTCCCTTGGTGGCAGCCAAGTAGCGCCCGGAAGCCCCTCTTGGGTTGGTGGCTTATGCCTCTTCTTCATGGGTGGGCAGAAAATAGATCTCAGTAAATCATTGCCACCTATCATCATTTTTTTTTCTTTACACAAATTAGCCACACAATCCTAAACCGGTGATTATGCTTGAAAAAATATGCCTCTTTAATGTGAACTATCAAATGCAGCTTATTAACTCCCAGTGTAACAAAAGACGTAACAGGAGCAAAATGACCCCCCCCCACCCTCCTCTGCAAATTGTCCTGAAATAAAGAAAATTTGGAAGAATCTAGAGTGGGGTTTGTGCATAAGTACGGCAAGGTTCATCCACTTCGGTTATCCAAGGCAAATTCCTGGGCTCAGAATTGATTCATTCTGTCTTTTGCATCAGGCTCTGACTTCTGGATCTTGGCATTTTAGTGAAAAAGAAATCTTGCAAACCTGAAGTCTTTCTCTTGTGAAAAACTGATTGAAAAAGAGCTGTCCAGGGGCCGTGGGTCACCTTGTCCTGCCAGCAAATGGCAGGCTGGAAATTTCCTCCCAAGCCAGTCAGGTTTTGGTAGGACTTGCTAAGCATTGGTTCCTGTTTGGAAATCATTGGCACGTGCCTCTTTTGCAAGCCCCAAACACAAGTACATTCTTTTGAAAAATGTCTGCATGTTCCCAGACTTGCAGTTGTGCTCGGAAATGCTTATGTTTTGATAATCTGTACTTTGAAACCTGCATTTTTTAAAAAGCTTGCCTTTCCATGCTTGTGGTCAAGGGAAGATAAGCACTTAGAAAAAAGACACACAAGCGGGTACATTTTCCTGTTGAAACTATCCAAAACATTGCGAACAAAAAATGGGGAGTGAGCTGATCCAAGTTCCTAAGTGAAGTTCAGAGAATTTGGCGAGCTCAGTCACCCCAGGGCCGCTGTCCCTCATTTTCAGCAGAAGCTCTTCTCTGCTTTGCCCATGGCAGTTAATCAAGGTGGAAGCTAGTGGAGGCCGCCCAGTTCTTTCTGTGCTCCTGCCGTCTTGTTGTTCACGGACCGTTGTCTCCCCTCCCATTTCAGGCAGAGCCCGATAAAGGCCTCCATGTCGCCGTGAGTCTGAGCCAGGAGGTCGCCCACCTCAAGGAGCTGCTTGCATCAGTCAACCAAATGCTCGCGAAGGGAAAAGAGCACTACCAGTTACTAGGTAGGAAAGCCGGGGGGAGTGGCCAGCTGCCCTTCGGGGGCACAGCCTGGGCTTCACGCAGGTGGAGCGAGCCACCTTCGGCCTGCAGCCGAGAACACCCGAGTTGTGTGTTGGTGGAAGCAGCACCTCAAGAAGAACGGTTCCCGAACAGCCTGTCCCGATCTTCGCTGCAGATTTTATCTTGTCCTTTGGGGAATGTTCCTGCCCCTCACTCCTCTACTTCGGCAGTCTGAAGTGGTACAGTCCACTGCACCACTTCTGGCCTCTACCAGGCGGGTGGGGAGCATGTCCATCCCCTCCAGCCCCCAAAGACCTGAGGCCAGGCCCCTAGGGTTGCGGGAGCAGCTAGGGGCGCTTTTCTTCCCCTGGGCCTTCCCCAGCCTGGGAACAGGAGCACAAAGCTGACCCAGGACTAAGCTGGAGCCTCAAGACGGCATCTGCAACTTCGCTCCCTCACTTTGCCCACTGAGGGAAGGCGGCATGACTGGCCAGGCCAGGCCAGGCCAGGCACCTGTGCAGCCACCTGCCAACCTCCCCGTCTCTGTGCGGGGAGACTGCTCTGTGCGACAATTTCGACCTGGCTCCGTGCTTCTGCATGCAAGCAGAACAGAGAGCGGGAGGGGTTGGTCAAAGGAAGGGGCTTCAGCAGGAAGATGCCCCTCGACGTCCTGCAGCCCCGGGAAGTGTCCTGGGATGCTGTGTGAATCCAGGATGGCTCTGTTCCTCACCCCTGCTTTGCTTCCACATTCTCCCACATGGAGAAATCAGTCTGAAGTGGCCCCAAGTTTTGGGTCTGAACAGATTGCTTTCTTGGTCGGAAAGGAGCACTTCTCCTGGGTTAAATTGTTCACTGGTCCAGGTAGTGCTATACAAGAAATCCCAAATGCCAAAGTGAGCAGGACTACAACCCTTGGGGAACATTTGCAAATTTCCAAGCTTGTGCCCATGTTCAAAATTGCTCATGGCCACTTCCAAAGATGCTTGTGCCCTGTACCACTGGAGTGCGTGCTTGGAAAAGGGCATGTTTTGAAGTGAGCACTTTCCTTGTTTGAGGAAAAACGATGCTTGCATTTGGGAGTGAGGCAGGAAAGTGGGAAAGGGAGAACGTCCGTGAATTTGAAGGTAACTTGTTCTCCCATCCCTCGTTCTTGGGAAATGGGCTGCTTCCCTCTGCATTGTGGGGTGGAGTCCTCTTTTCATGCCCCTTCTGTTGTGTTTGCCAAGGCCATGGCATGAACCAAGGTGGGCACCTCTCAACTGGGGGCAACCACTTCCTGTCTTATTCCAGAGGGAACATGCCTAGAATTTTGGGCTTGGCCAGTTGTTTCTAGAGAACCACCATCAGTTCAGAGGAGAGACAGCCTGTTTGGGTTATGGAAGTCCTATTTTCAAAGTTGCATTTATAAAGTCAAACTTTGGAATGGAAATTTCTGTTCCTAACGGTTTCTGGATTTTCACACTGTGTGTATATTTTGCTCTTGAAAAGATACAAAATGCAGTTGGGCATCTCTGCAGAAGGAAATGTTGAAATGCAGATTTTGAACTGAGCATTAACTGTGGGAATTCAGGGGGTTTTGAATTTGGACTTGGCATCCCCCCCTCCCCCCAGTTTTAATACTTTAAGATGATTTAAGATAGCTGCCCATGATGAATTCTGGAATGGGGGAGTGGGCAGCTTTTTTTAAAAAAAAATCTAGATTTCTACAATGTTAAAAACAGCTGGCCTTTTACCCCCTCCCACTTTCTTCCCTACCAAAGTAAATGGTTTAACACCCAGTCCTTTGAAGTAATGTCTCCCTTTCTATCTGTATTAAGAAAAGTATTTTGCGGCAGTTTTCTTCTCCCACCTTCTGAGCTTATCTTTGTTTTTTGTTTTGTTTTTTCTCATTTGCAGAATGAAATCATGGGGAGATCGTTTATTTGGGGGTAGCAGAAGGCACTGTATTTTATATTTTGCCAAATGAAAGCCTTATTTATGTGTTCGCCCTTTCTACTTCGCCACACACTGAACAGAGTTTTGTCTTTCCTACTCCTTGTTAGACTACTGATTTAAACAAGATGATGAAGAAGAAGACTCTGCAGACACCTCCAGAGTTCTAGTTTTATAATAAATAATTAAAAAAACCAGTTTGGATAATTAGAGCTTTACATTCCTGGAGCTACAGTAAACGTGTAACCTTTTATCTTTGCTATGCTCAGTGAAACTTGTTCAGACACACACACCTGACCTGGTAACAGCAGCAGCGAACAATAACATTTTAATACTGACGGTCTGTGCTGTTTTACTTAGGAACATTTGGGGGAGTTACAGCCTCTGATTTCCACCTTCAAGTAAACACTCCTCCTCCTCCTCCTCCTCTCTCCCCCCCTTTTTTGGTTGCTATTGTAATCAGTTTTTGTACTGGTGTCGGCAAATAAAGGGATGCTTATCACTCAAATGCTACTGTTGTGTGCGTGCTGCAGGATTTCCTAAAGGAAGATGGGAGCTTTCTGCCAAGCTCCGTGAATGCACTTCCAGTGGGACTTAGTTAAATGGTAGTGTGAGATCTCTGGGGGACCAGAGTGCAGCCTTCTCTGGCCCAGCGCTCCATGGAGCCTGGAAACAGGGTGAGAGGCCATTCGGATGTCTCTGGGCCTGCACAGAACCATCGGGACGAGGCAGCCCTCCTTGCCAAGTGTCTCCTGGGCAGGCCATCTCAGTTGGTGGCCAGCCGTCCATGCTTAAACATTACATTGGAATGTTTGGGTTTTGGACCCCTCTCCCAATAATCTGTTAATAAAAACTGTGACCGGACTGTGCCAGTCAACAGCTGGGGCAAACTCCAGGGGTCCCCAGACCCGAAGCCAAACAGAGCCTGAGTCGAGACTTAGAGCCAAAACCAGCTTTATTCTAGTGCACTATAGAATGAAGGGAGACAAAAGGGGACATTCAGCCCAAAGCAGTGTCTCCAAAGTTGCACCCCAGTACATGCGTTTTATACCCTACGTAACCAATTAGGTCACCTAATACACATCTAATACATCGATGCATCAATGTATGCAACCCCTCCCGTGCTGGAGAAAGAGTCCTTTCTTCTGTCAAGGACCAGACATTTCCCATGTCTATTTCCTATCTGCTCGAGATTCACACAGGCTTGCCATGTTCTTACTCCCTGCACATTTGCAACTTTCATGGCGGCTGGAACCAGTTTCCACTGCCCCTTTGATTACCGTATTCGAGGTCAGGCTAGCGTGTTAGCTGTGGGTTACACAAAGTTCATTTTGTTCTTATCTGCCCTCCCTTCTGGGACAGTATAACTGTGGTGTTTTTACTATGTGGCCTTCCTCTGGCCAACTACTTTTGGGGCCTTTCTCTGGCCAATTACTTTTGGGGTGTTTTGGGGTGCTGCAATTGGCAACAGTTTCCCCCCTTCAAAGGAATCTTCTTATTAAAAGGGAGATTAGGGAGATAGGTTATTAAACCTTTGCAGCTTTGCCTTGAAGGTGCAGACTGCTGGTGCAGGTGAGGACCATTTGAATGGAGAAACATAGAAGCAGAACGAGTCTGACCCCTGGCCCCAGCCGGCCCTGCTCATGACATGTCTACCATGTGCAAGTCTGAGAAATATTAGAATGAATAATTGTTGACAAACACTGTCTCCCAATAATCTCCAGCGTGGAATATGGGAATAGCACTCTGCAACACTCTCTCTGCCACAAGATCTGCTCGGGGAAGCAAAGGAGAGCCCGGTTTTCGAATGCCCGTGGTTGGCGTTGAAGCATCCTTCATTGCTGCAGAGCGGGGGTGACCGAGGGTGGACTAAGGATAACGGTAGAGTTGCCTGCAACTTGCATGCTTGACCTCAGGGGAAGGCCGATGCCTGCTCCCCAGCACACGGCACCGGGCACTGTCCAGTGCTAGACCTTCTTATAACAGACCCATTGAAATGGACTTATTTAGTCAAGACTGAGCTAAAAGGGTCAGAACACATTCCGAGACACTCAAAGCTGCATTCTAATCACCCTTCTTGAGTGTTTCTTGGGGTTCTAGTGGAAATGCAAGAGAATCCAAGAAGGCTGCTTTCTGCCCATCCCAGTCTAGGCCCAAAAGCACAAAAGGAGGGGGGAAGCATTGGGGAGTCTATAAAACAATCTGCAATTTGGAGAGAGTGAATAGGGAGTTTCTCCCACTCTAATAATATAAGGGACTGTATCCAATCTTAGTGCTGTGTAGAAGAGACCCATTGAAATGGATAAGCCTTACTCCAGTACCATTTATTCCAATGGGTCCACTCTAAAGAGGACTGACATTAGGCACCCGTTCTTTTCTTCCAGTTATGGAAAGAGCTCCTGCAACACAAACCATGCCAACACTTCCATGAACTCTCAAAATTGCAGGGCACAACAGTTCCTCTCCTTGCTGCTCAGAAATTCCCTCAAATACATCTGGTTCTGACTCTGCCCTTTAAGGAGGACTCATAAATTGAAAGGAGTTCAAAGATGGGCAACAGAGACTAGCAGGGGACGAGCAACCTAACATCCAGTGTGGAATGTTCTAATATTGTGGGTATCTTCTAACCCTGAGAAGCAAAAATGGGAAGGGGGAAATTTGCAAGGACCTACAGGGCTGCCCCACAGAAGGCCACGGTTGGTCTTTTGCTTCTAAGACACATGCCTCCAGCAGTTACAGGAAGACAGATCTCAGTTGAACCGCTAGAATAATGCTCTAGCAGTACAACCAGCTGCCAGGGAAAGTGGCATTCGAGCAAAGATGGGCTGCTATCAGGGATACATTAAAAACTGGATCCATGTGCTGACCTGGGGGCAAGATTCTGTGGCTGGTGGCCCGGTCCAGCTCTTACCATTCTGCAGTACTACTACTAGCACCCAGGTAACTGGCATTGGAGGAATCCATTAAAAATGCAGGTTAACCCAATCCATCACTTGGTACACCAGCCTATCAAGACATGTTTTAAATTCTGCCTTTATCTGTTAATGGAAGAGCCAGAGACTTCATCTTTCGTGGCAGTCCTCTTGCCTGGTCCTCCACCCCAGTGGCTCGAGGGTCTGGTTAGGGGTAGGGTAAAACAGGAGGTGCCGCTCACGCTTGGCTCCCTTCCAGGCCGGGCCTGCAACCTGTTCTGCAGTGGGGACTTGGTTCAGCTGATCGTGACTGTTGAAAGGGCCCTGATCTAAAAGGGCTTCTCCACAGCCTGGCTTAGCTACATAGGAGACAACGGAGCCAAGACACTAACATGGCATTCCCTAAGCAGGAATCTGAAATACTCCCTGGAGATCTCCTGTATTTGGTTTTGTACTTTGTGTGTGCAAAAGAGAGGTTGTCTGACGTAATTTTGGAGCCAGTCTGGGTGACATGTGGGTGTTATGCCAAGTTTAGGGGCTGTGGTATACTTTCCCTGTGCGACACAGAAACAACATTTCTCATGGGTGCTTCTGACATGGCTTACGCTCCTTGGGTGTCCTCCAGCCAACCTTTTCCAACAAGATTTGTACATTTCAGGACTGGAATGGGTGGCATTTCAGAGAAAACCAGTGTGGTGGTCCTGCGTTTCAGCCTCCTAGCTAGCATCCTAAATTTGACTTCCGGGCCCTCATGACTACGTTTCTCCATGTCACTGGTACCAACATGGCCCCCATTGCTGTGACCCTTTCGCACAAGCTGTGCGGAACCCTTGCTAAGCTCATGTCTTCACAGGCCATCCTGAAAATAGGTCACCCAGCAACAAGCCATGGGAGATGGCGGCTGGTTTTGCGATGGGTGTGCCGACTGCATGGTAAAATCCCTCATGGTCTATGGTCCGAGGTGGCCAGAAGGCAACCATAGCCAGGATGCTGGGACCAGAGTACAGATGCAGAGTAAAGACCTGCAGCTAGTCTGGTGGGTGCAGGGCAAGAGACACATCACAAACAGTCCGGGGTCAAGAGCCAGGGAGACGAGAAGCTCCAGGCAAATGCAGAGCCCAAGGGCACAACCCAGACAATCCTGTCCTGGAGCAAGGCGAGGTTAGGCGAGATGGGCACAGCTGCCTGGGAAGGCACGGTCAGGCAGGAGACAAGGGAGTGGGAACAGGCTGGAGCTGAAGCAGGGCGAGCTCCAGGCAGGTGGAAACAGGAATTGAGGCGAGGCGAGGCAGGAAGGCAGAGAACGGGGCAGCCAGCAGGAGGCCCGAGCTGCTGTGGCAGGGGCCGTGGGGCAGCGAAGCGGCATATGCTGCCCCCAGGGCTCCCCGCTGCACCATGTCACTGCCCCACGGCTGCAGGCACTTGTTGGGCAAACCAAGCTCTGATCCTGACAATCACATGCCATTGAGGTAGCTTTGTAAATATAGTGGGGACGCAGGAAGGGGTATCCTCACCACGTTCTTCTTCTAAAGTTCGCCCTCTCCCTCCCGCGCTCTGCAGGGCCGTATCCAAACCAGCCCCGAACAGGCGAGAGCAGCCTGTATGCTCTCCCGCCACTCCAACCTGCCATTTTGTAGTGGGCTGCGGGGACACCCAATTTCGTCCTCACCAATCTTCCTAGAGCTCTGGATGTGTTTTCTTCGTCCTGTTTCTTTCTGCCCCTGCATAACCCTCGACATCCCTCATCCCCTGTGGCTTCGGCCCTCTAGTGGTGCCCCAGAGACCCCTTGAGGCATTTCTGAATGGGGTTTCCACGGAGCACGGCCATGCAGAGGTACTTCTGGGGCAGAAATGCTCCTCTCAGCCAAGGCCTGCCTTTGAACAGGCCCTGGAGCACAAGGGGGTGTCAGTGCATCTCCATAGCAACCCGCATTTGAATTCGGAGCAGTGGGCTTGGCACCATTTCCAGGCACAGGGACTGTGAGGGCCCGTGCTCGAAAGCCCTGGTATCTCCCTCAATAGGCCTGATTGTTAATGCCTTGACTGACGCCAACGTAATCATTAACTGTGTTCCATAAGAAGTAATTGCAGCCATTCGTATATCTCGGCCCTTCTTGTGCTTTGTGAAATCCGTGGAACGTGGAGCCGTCGCAAGCAGGGGGTGGTGTTTTCCGCCTCCTCCAGGAGACATAAAGCAGCCGTGGCTTCCGCTCGCCTTCATTTTCAGAGGAAATAAAGTTGCATCCCGTACTCGCAGGTCGTTACGCAAAACCATCCGTGGAGAGGTGGAGGAGGAGGTGGAGGGAGGCGTCTCCTCCGTCCTTTGCTATTTCATTGTCAGTTGACAGATGGTTCCTCTCAGGAAGATGCTGTCCTTCCTTTACGAGTGCCCCCGAATGTAGAACGGATTCCGTGCTTTTTACGACCTGCCCCAGTAGCACTGGTACGCGGGGCTGGAATAACGGTCCTGCTAGGAACGTTCCGGAGCAGGAGACGGGGAAAATCAGTTGCCTTGGAGATTCCTAATGGGAAAGTGAGGCTTGCCGCCTGGGACCCTGGAGCAGGAAGTGAGCCCTGGCTGCGGAGAAGCAAAATT